GCTTGGTGGCAGCACACACCATTTCACGTCATCGTTCATGACGTTGCTGGGCAGGCGTGCGCATGCTCAGAGTCGTTGCATTACACGAACAATGGGAAAGAAACTTGTAAATGGAGACACAGTGAATAAACAACCATTAGGATACCATGAGTAACCGCAGCCTTCAGGTTTTCTACATGTATGTTGAAACAGAAACTTATTTAGGAGATGTGCACAGAAAATTAACATTCTTTCGTGTTCCGCGTTAAGATACTCTTGATAATTTATAACGAAGAAATCTCCAGGGCTATGACACGTTTAGTTTTGCATGCAGGGTCTACCGTCAAAATGACACTCTCATAATAGGGAATATTTTAACATATTAAAGCCGTAGTTTCGAACACACTGCCCATCCCCACCAAAATAATTGGCTTTATAACGCCACATTGACATTTGAGAAACGCCGTAGGAATGATGCAAAGAAATCTACCTTTTTAATATAAATTATATAAGTTATTTGTTTGATTAGCCTTGACATTAAGGTTTTCTATTTGACTTCATTGTTGGCGTACGTCATTGCTCGTCAAGCCTTCATGATGGGGTATTCATCACAGCGCTGCTGTTGCGTCTACAGCTTACATGCCTTAAGTAAATAATTAATGACTCGTACAGTTCGTTATGTCAGAAGGCGTCACAGCAGCGCGTGAGACAAATCGTGTGTGAAAATTGTCCCGTGGGTGGGGGAGGCTTGGTCCACAGGTTCCTTCCTAAGATGTGAATTAAATATTGGCGATGTAAAGAGCAAAGGTTATGTTTCTGATTGAATGTTTATCGAGTTAGACTTGTTTGAGTAACGATGCAGAACTGATTTAACATGTAAGGTCACATTGTGTTGCTCTTTTACAAGCACTCAAAAACTTGGTGGGCCTATCTCTTACACCATTGGGTTCTGACTAGCACCATTAAGACATATGCTATAGTCAAACTCAAGTTCTCATTTTGTTCACAACAATTACAGTACTTCATGTACTTGGGTATTTTGTCAAGGACTCGTATTAGAAAGTAAGGCTTCAAAGGAAGAGGTAATTCCTAGATGTGTGTCACTTGGTTGTAGTACCCGACCTCAATGACATAGGCCTTACACTAGCGATGGGTATGTCTGGCATGGTTTAGCACTCGACCTCAATGACTTAGGACCTATATACACAATGATGATGTCTTACTTGGTCATAGTACCCTACCTCAACGATTTAGGCCTTACACTCACGATGGGTTTATCTAACTTCGTTTTAGTACTCTACTTTAATGACATATAGGCCTTTCTCACACTTGCTATTACTCGGCTTAATAGTACTTGATCTCAATGTCTTAAAAGTACCGAACAGAAAATACACACAGAGAAGAATGGCACCAGTCTATAATTATAGCACTCCACCTCAATGGCTTTCCGCACAATACTCCTCTGAGGCGGAGCGATCACTCGGAAAACTCTTTCGAGGCTGGTTGACCTGAGTGTACAACATTACCACAAATTTATTAATGTAACATGGAACTTGAGTACTTGTCTATATAGCACTCTAACTCAATAGCTTGATACCTATGTACTCTTTGATACCGGTTTGATACCAACATACCACCAGATCGCATCAGCCCGGTATATTATTAGTAGTTATTTAGAGCAGCTTGATGCATCTACAACATTGGTAGACCAAGTGGATAATATTCGCCGTATTTTTGTTAACTAATGTTCCATATAGTCTCCCTCGTCTCCCACTATACGGCGGCTCCAAGGGGCCATTTTCTGGCCAAATGAACGCGCGCTTGTTGGCTTTCACACTTAATTTAATTGCAATCAATACTTGTGCTTCAGATGGGGCTATATTATGTCTGCACACGCGCACGTGCGTACTGCCCAAGATAGGAGACTATCTCTTCTATTCAGTTTAGTAGTAGCGGATCTGATAACCCCCCTCACGTGAGTGGTATTTTTCTTTGCCACTTTGCCGGGGCTCTGGACCGCGAAATGGTATCAGGACGGCGGGGCTCATTTAATCGCATTCTTCCGATCGACTGCAAGTCTCATCGCTTCCACCTCAGACTACTTCATTAGTTGGGCGGCACTGGAGCTCGGTTCTTCGCATTTTTTCTGTATATTTCGCGTTATGCTGCATTTTAAAGGAGAATATTAACAAGATCATATTGATTTTTCCTCCTCTTTCTCCTTCTCTCTTGACTAGTTTGTTTGCCTCCCTTTCTTCCCTTCGACCTGCAATTTTCACAAGTTGAGAACATCATAAAACGCCTCTTGGAAATAAGATAATTGTCGAATCCTTAGGTCGTTGTTTAGGTCGTTGTTTAGGGCGGTTGATTACCCCAGTAAGACATGGTGACACCGCTAACTTTGTTTTTGTTTGTTAAGTTGTTTCTCTGCTTTTTTCTCCCTCTTTAAGCCTCTTACTCCGAGTGATTTTAGCCTTCTGCTGACTTCTATTAGCTCCACTTAGGAAGCATTTTGGTAACTCCATTTAACGCCCTTTTTTTTCGTTTCTTTGTTCCAAAATAACTTCAAAAATGTACAGCGGAATTTCCATATCTTCTCCCTCCTTGCGATTTCTGGAAGTTTAAAGAGCCGTGAAGTAATTGCACTTCAATGCCGTAGGTGTTTTGCGTAATTGAGTCATCATCAATACAAGGCCGCTATTGCAATTTGATTGTCGTTGACGTTAGCGGTGGTGATTGAATTAACGTTTTGTGGGTTTGATTGTCTTTGGCTTTGGGTCATTTATTTAGTTCCCAGCATTCAACAGAGGATGCTCCTTTTTGAGTTGTAGGCTAAGGATATTTTCCAAAGAAGATAAAAAGGTCATCATTCATGTCAAAAAGAAAAGAACTTTCTTCGAATGTTTAATAATGGGTTGACATACAACCTCATGCTAGTGAAGGTTGGACGACTTCTTGTATCAGATCGTAGCACTATGGGATGTAGTTAAGCGGGGATTTGAGCAAGAGCCTTCCAGAAAGTGAGGCAGCCGAATAAAGGAATGAAGTCATGTACTTTGAGCGTGCGTCCCAAAGGAAAGATCCCGACTTACCACAAGGTTGATTTTAATTTCAGTTAAGAGGATTAAACGACCGAAGAAGCATCAATTTACCATCATAGCGATAGCACCAGCGAATTTTGACTTGATTGAAAAAAAGCGGAGTTTTAATTTATGTATCTCGCAGGTGTAGCTTTTTTATAATTTTACCGCTCATGTCTTGACAACAAAATTCGAGCCCTTGCTTTTAAGTAAATTACAACGATACTTTAGGAGCGCGTGGCTCTCATTTTATTAATAAGATCTGGTTCTGAGAATAAGACGAACCCTTTCCAAGTCAAGACGCTATTCCAGAGCAGATCAATAGCCAGAAATTGGGACAAAATCCGGAGCAAACTGGTTCAAGTTTTCTAAATTTACTGTCACCCGGAAAAACGCTGTAGCCTATCGACCTTTCACAGCTAGAGCACATTAGGAGAAAATAAAAGTACTTGTGTCTGGCTCCTAACGCACTGTTTGTATCCCTTTTTTCTCTTCACAGGAAGTGGATAGCCCCTGCTGAATTGGACATATTTGGCGGGAAATGTGATTTAACGCGGGCTCGCACTTTTACCCAGATTTAATCAATCGCGCCGTTGCATTGATTTGGCGCGTTAAGCCCGAATTCATCGGGGAGCACGTGGCGTATTATTTTCCCTTGAACCGAATCAATGCATGAGAAGTGCGACAGGAATTGCATTTCCGGTGCAATTAAAGTTAAATCGAAAAACCCATCAAATGGGTGACGTAAATTCCCCGGATTAGACAACAACTTATTTTCACTGTGCAATATGGAATTATGGTATGCTGGATGTAAGCTGACTGGAAATTGAATTCAAAAGTTGTTGCCTGCAAAATTAATGGTTAGCCGTCCTTGCTTGGTTCCTTTTAAGTGAACTTAAAATGTCCTTGGTTGTTTATTGATCTTCTTATCTGCTTATAGGAGGAACTGTGGAAGGCATCCTTACTTTTCCGTAATTTTCGAAATATTAATAACAAAAAGCTTTTCTTCAGAGTTTTGAGACCTCTGCTTACTTTGCAATTGAAGGCAAATCTTCAGATCAAACACTTAGAACTGAATGGTCTTCCCGCCTAAAATGTATTGACATTGCAGTTGTTGGTACAACGTAAAAAAAAGTCGCAGTAATAGAAAGAATAAAATTCGGCACCACTTTGAATTTTAGGCACACGGACATTTTCCTCTTCCATTATTTGCCCACGAACCCGTTACGGTTCACATTTTGATATATCTACAGTCGCATTTGCCACACGAATTTGTCTTCCCCGCTCCAAAAAATATTTGCACATGTTTAGTATGAGAAGCAAATTGGATAATAATTAATCACTATAGTAATGAAATATTAGCGCGAGATGAAGTGATATTTTCGTTGTTGAGAATTTTGTTGAACTTGATATTGTATCAATACCACATGGTTGATATTGGTATGCAAACTATGTTCGCATTGAAATAGTTTGTACGTCAAGCTTATGAGTTGGACAAACATCATCTGACACGTCTGCATTTTGATTGATAGGGCCTCCGTGACGTTTTGTTTTTGAATGTTTACTCGTTTCGCCACGCTTTACGGGAGAAGTAAACGCAGAATTGAATTGACAGAAATAGTTTACATCACTAGGCCCAGGAAGTTTATTTACTTAAGCTATGATGCTTTATAGATTCTGTACGGTTGATTTTTGTGGTATAAACAGTAAATTTAATGGCAAAAAAATGACATCGACAGATTTTTTGAGAAAATACTGTGGAAATCAGAAGTATTTGGACTTATCGGGCAAAAACGAACCGGAAGCTTGTATCCAACAAAGGGGCGTAATTCTGTTCAAAAACTCCCCGTTACGTTGGACAGCCTTGTAAATGTGTTAAATTCATTTGGTATTTGATTAATATTGACCAGAAATGTTATTTTTCCTCAATTTGTTATACAGTGTCAGCAGGTGACCACAATGTATCTAATCTGATACGCGACAGGTTTAGTGACTATAATCGTCTGGTGAGACCGGTCAAGAACGCATCCCTTCCCATTATTGTGGACTTTCTATTCTACTTCGCTCACGTCCTGGATATGGTAAGTAGTAAAGCTAACCATCTTGGCTTACAGGGCGCCACCAAGTGGGCACCTGAGATTTTTTCGCAGCGCTTTATGGAAAGACTTGACATCGGCGCGTAAAAGTGCACGTATTTTGGTATTTTTCCCTTTTTTTCAACTTTATTGGCTACCAAATTCGTTTGCATGAGAAATTTATTAATGATCCCAGACTAATGAGATTGCCATTTTTCCCTAAGCAAAAATACAATTTACAAAAACACGAGAAATTAATTACCCGATCCCAAGCCTTCTGAAAAGGTAAAACTTGCGTTTTCAATCAAAATAAATTAAACTTACTTATGGCAACTCACATTTACGTTAAGCCTAAAAATATCTCAAAGATGGAACATTGTCAAGATTCGCTGCTCGGAAAAGCGCCCTCTTGTGGACTCTTATTTTCATAGTTTGTTTACTCCAATAAATTCTCATCTTCAGTAGACTTAGAATGAACTGAAATTGTAAGTAATTTTACTTTAACAATCTCCAAACACACTGTAGTATAAATGTTCGTAATTGTTTTCTCATATACGGGCTTAGACGTGTATTTTGTAGGTTCCTTTCTCTACAGTTTTTTTCGTGAGCCCGAAGAAATTTTTTTTAAACCATTTTCGAGTGACGTCGATTTACTTCAAACTCCTTTAATTTCTCCCTGGATTAAGCGGGAACCGTAAAATAAAAAATCAATAATTCGCAGGTATACTTAATAAAAAATAACCTTTCCCAATCACGTAACGGAAAACGCTTGAACACGAAACCTCTTTCTAAAATTTGATCCGGAGAGCCTTGTCAATAGCATCTAATCGAGAGCTCGTCAGCGCGCATCCGCTAAAGCGGTTTTATTGAGATGGGGTTTCGAAACAATTATAGCGGCAATTTGGAACGAGGCCGGAGTCAAGCGATGAACGCCGTCCACCGCGCCGAAACTCGGTCCTTGTTTTCACTGCAAATAAGACGGCAGCAGGCTAAAGCGAGATGGCAGTAGACACTTGAAACTAAAACAAAATTCAATTTTTTTAAAGAAAGGAACACCTTGGGGCAACTTGTTTGTTTCTCACGGCGAGTGTGCGTGATAACCCGACGCGGTTCAATGCGATCAGGGTGTCGATAATACACGGAAATGAGATTTAATGATGAGTGCAATGCGTATGAGATGAAGAGTGCAATTAGGTATAGAGGTCTACCATCAGTTTAGAGTGGTGTTTCTTACACCTGTCCATGAATCTTACCGGTCAATGTTGGCTTACGAGAGGGATTGTGGTAATAGGAGATCAGAGATCGGAACCTATTTCTACGGTGTTTGTAATAGGGAAGTTTTGCACTCTACCGATAAAGGTACAAGTGTTAAAGCTCTCAATGAACAAAGCAATGAACCACGTGGAAACTTTGGATCTACTGATGGCATTTCAAAATTCATCACACAGTTTGTCTTCTTTTGCGAATTCGTTTACTCGCATTACCTTTTGCGGCCAACACTTTCCTTCATTCATTTGACAATGAGGTATTTCATGATAAGGATAAATGTGGGGAAAACTGTAATCATTACTAGTTGCGACTGACTGAATTGCAATCAAGTATAGGCCTAATAAAAACTTATAAAAAAAACTCATTTTATATTCCCCTTCAAACAAAACAAAACAGATTTTGAGTGAACGATGCCTGAAATCCGAAAGAGAACCTACAATCTCTCAGCGCGGAATTGCTCCCAATTCTCACATCTGCAATCGCAGGCGAAGAAAATATCACTTAACCTTTACCCTATGTTAGGAGAGCACCCCCTGACAATTCAATTACGGGATTTGGAGCCCAAGGCCCTCAGGAGATACAATCAGCCACACCGATCCCTGATTTTGATACGACTCCTTATTTCCCCCATCTCGAAGTGAGAGCTCCGATCGTGCAAGAAATCACCGAGCGACAGTTACTGCATCCCCCTCCAGACAAAGCATTAGTGGGTTATCACACATCGCAGAATGCTGCGGTATAACACCGTTGGTATAGGAAGCACTTTCAACTCTGAAACATATCAAAGGAAGACTAAAAAGGATGATATCATGCCCTCCCGCTGGCAAATTGGAAATCTGTCAAGACAATCAAGCCGACATGTACATTTCTTGATAGCTAGGAAGAACTTGGTCATAAACGAGCTGGAAATGCGATAGCACATTTTCTCTTTCACCTTTATTTTTAGTTTGGTGTTTCATGTTTCATGGAGAATGATGCCTGCTAATTACAGGTGAATACCCTGATGGGCATTATGCTGGCGTATCTCCGGCCAGCCTTAGGGGATAGATCCGATACTGAAGCTATAGATTGCTGAGTGTTTTCTGTCGGTCCGTCTCACTGTTTATCTATCTGTCGGGCTGTTTGTTCGTGTTGCGTTAAATAGCTGTCCGTCCATGAAGTCCGCTCCGTCTCACAGTTGTAGTTATCTGTGTTGCATTTTTTCTGCGCCCCACATGCATGTGCGTGTCTTTTCTGTTCCTATTTTCTGTTTGTATAAGGAGTTTATTTTATTGGCGATATGCATGTTGGTGACTTCACATTCAAACATTCATAGTGCCCGATTCAGTTTACATGTTACGAGTTTCTTATTTCTATATTTGTAAGGGAGTACTTTTTTGCCTTAATGTGACTTCACCAATGCACATTGGTGAGTTTCTCGTCAGTTGTTCCTATTTTTATATTTATTAGAATTTCTGTTCGCATATACATCCTGGAAAATTCATATTATAAGATCTCTCCATACCTACACTGCCTACCAGATTCAGTTCTATTGACAAGTCGGTAGAACATGCGTGTAGAGTCGTTTGTTTTGTTCGTAGATTTCACGAGAGTCACATTATTTTGCGGGTACGTTTGCGTTGCTCATTACTTTCCCCAAACCTCGGCTTCATCACCAGTGTTGGCATTGCGCTATACCTGTCGTTAAAGGCTGTCATGTTCACATCACCCTTCAATACTGTGGCCATATTTTACAATTTGAAGCTCCCTGAGCAGAACATATGGACCTATAGTCATAATGCCTTATAAATTGCCTGACGCCGAAGCTGAAGACGAAAGCGTGGTTTTTGAAATACCTTCGCTAACTTTAGAACATGAGTGATATGGCCTAAACTCTCTTCCTGTCTCTTCCTATTTTCAATTTTACTGACCGTCTTAATTTTTACGGTCTATTTTCTTTAGAATGAACGAGAGCAGACGTTGAGCAGTTCCATTTGGCTGACGTTGGTAAGTCTTAAACCCAAGGTTGTTTTCCTCAAAGTATAACTCCCCAATTTTGTATCTCGATCACCTGTACAATCTACAATCTGCAATCTCCTAGGACGGTGTTATTTTGTCCCTGAAGATAGCCACTCAAGCAAGTTAATCTCTGGTCTTGTTCCAGACGTCCACAATTGGCCTTGACTATGTTTACCCCTCGATCGGGTGGATTTTCGAATGCCATGAACGATTTTCTGCCTTGGGGAACTTGAAGTGTTTCTTCAGCTATGCTGATGCGTAAATGCCCCGCCAGGGTATCGGGGAAAGCCGCAAAATGTGTCACAACTCCCCCGGCTGCTAACGCGGTAATCGGTGAATTTCTGTGCTTCGAGAAGGCCACTTCAGGGACGATTTGTATAATGGGATTTAACCTAAAGGACGCTCCCTTCTCTTAATTTTGTTGAGAGCGTTGCTTATAAAATCTGTGTAAACATATCTAATTTTTATTTTATTTTCCAAAAATGCAAATAAAAACATTGGCCTTGGAACTATCAAAGTTATGATCATGCATGCTTTTTGGGAATGGCAGATGTTAATCATGACAAGTGATATTTTTTTCTGACATGGAACTCTAATAAATAATTTTGAAGTGTTTTGTTGTGTTTTGTCTTTTGAATTTAGTCTTCCTTTTTCAGTATTGTTTATATATATATTTTGTGTGTGTGTTTAAGGCATTCCGTTTATAAGCTTCGGCTTCTTGTGCAATGCCTCCACTCAGTAGTTTTCATGTAACAATTGTTTTGTTTTCTAAAGTGCTTAGTCATGTGAAAATAAATGTTTCTGAAATAAGAAATAAGAAATAAGTGTTCTTAACTAACAATATGTATTTTCTAGAAACTTCAAAGCGATCTTTATTTTGAGTGACACGAAATTTTCGGTAACCAGGACCATATTAATTCCGTTTTCATTTTATTAAGGTATCCGCAATGAGAAACAAATGTGTGATAAGTGTTTGAAAGTTCAACACCTTCGATTCGTTAATTATTTAATTATAGTTGTACATTCTCGGATCACATTCCTTGAGCGATTGGATTGACAATGGTTGCCTGTGGCAATGCATGCCTTTAAAATGGTCAGAGAACCTGTGTGTTACCCGAACATTCGTTTGTCAAAAAATATGTACCGCTTTTAAAAAAAAAGATTGGAACGCCGGGCCCATATTCCGTATATTCCTTATATTACCCTCTCCCTGTGGTGAAAACAGCTCGATACTTCCATTTCTAAACGTGCTAACGGCTTATTCATGTCTACATGCAAAATATGTCTACTCCCGCGTTGGGAAGATCAATTTATGCAAAGTGTCTTGCCCAAGGACTCACAACATAACCCCTCAGGCTGGAATCGAATCCATAAGCTGCAGCATTGCCTTGTAGATCCTGCTAAATATTGTCTACACCATAAAAGGAATCATATATTATGTATCTTTAAATATGTTTGCACTAAAAGTAAACGGTTCGGCGCTTTCTCACTAGCTTCGCTAAAGCAGTACATGTGGATATTTTGTGAAATTCGCATGGAAACTCTGGAGACGTGAGAAAAACCGAAGGAGTTCTCAACCCGTCCCATTTTAAGTAACTTTGGTCGATTGGAAGATGAACTGTCAGTAATTATCTTTTTAAGAAATTCGGTTTGTTTTCGTCTGCAATTCCTGTAAAAAGGCTATTATATGGGGGAATACTGGATCGCTGTCCCTGCATGATTCATTCTGATAGGAATTCGGGAAGCAGTCTACCCTGCAAGAACTGAATTATTGCCAGGCCGCAAATAATTCAACATTTGTAAATGAATAATTCCATGGCTGAACGGGGCCGATCGTTGTGTTCGATGTATTCAAAAGGAATGGCTTTTGCACTGTTAGAAAAATAACAAAAGTTTTTTTCGATTTCTTCCAATGTCTTGCACGCAATTGGGGTCCCTATATTGGCAGACTCTAAAGTTACATTGGTTTTTTTTCTTTGTTTTCAATCTTTCCTTCAGTTTTGGCGTGACGATTACATGACGTGGGACCCCGATGATTACGGTGGGGTGTACATGTTCAAGGTTCCATCAGAGGAAATATGGCTGCCAGACATCTACTTTTACCAGAAGTAAGACAAATCCTCAGATTTTCTGAAACCCCGGCTTCGTCTCCAGCATTGACTTCAGGAGGTCTGCAAGTTCATTTTCCTCTTCAGGAATATCAAATTATATATAAATTTAAGCCAAAGTATGGAAATTTGAAATTTAAAGGCTTCTTAATGATTCTGAAGCCAGATGCAAAACAGAAGGCGGAGACGAAGCTGGGGATTCAAAATGTACAATTGTTTGTGCTTTTCCTCTGACGCCACTTTTTCTTTGACGCCACTGCTCACCCCCTTCTGAGTAAAAAGTATAGTTAGAATGTTTGGATATGTGATATAAGCTCAGTAGAAGAATTATTTTGGAAGGCGCCAATAAGCGCACAGAAAGGTTACCTCCTATGGACCTGAAGTCCGGTACACCGTCTCTGCTCTGGCAAACTTGGCACCGATTTTGACGTAATTTTCTCATCGAATAAAATACACAGTACAATACAATATTAAATTAAGCAAAGAAATTGACTGCAACGGGAATTGAACCTGCGACCTCTAAGGCACAGGACTCATATTCTTTCGCAGTACGATTTAAAAGCATGAAAGGTTAGGCACCAAGCTAAGCAACTTTCATAAAATTCTACGATCTTTTTAGCGCACTCTTTCGAAAGATATTATGCTTAGACTCTCCATTTTCTAACCTGTTCATCCTTTATTTTTTAACACCTGTTTTAGGCCCTATTCTTATCTTTTCAAACCTGTTTTACATTTGACTTCAAGTTGATGTTTACCTTTATCTTTTACAACCTATTTACCTTCATCTTTTCAAACTAATTTACCTTTGCCATTTCAAACCAACCCATTTTGCCTTTACCTTGTCAAACCCATATTACCTTTACCTTTTCAACCAATTTTACATTTACCTTTCAACCCTATTTTACCTGTAACTTCCGAAACCTGTTTTACCTTTAAATTGCCAAACCTTTTTTTACCTTTAACTTCTGAAACCTGTTCGCCTTTATCTTTTCAAACCTGTTTTACCTTTCTTTAACTTCTCAAACCTATTTTTTTTCAAACCTTTTTTTATTTACCTTTAATGGTTGAGAGACTCTTTCCGTTATTTCGTCAACCCGTCGCTATCGTCTTCATCAATACTTGTCAGCCTGTGTTCCTCTGACATTTTCTCTGGAAAGGAAAAAAAATGAAAAGAAGAAGAGAAACTAGATTCTGTCCGGGGAGACATGGAGTGTTGTGCCGCCGAGCTTATCCTCACACTCAATAGCCCTGATCAAGAAGAGCCTGTCAAAACAGCTTAAAAAGCCCGCACGATCGAACCACAACGATTTTTTCCCTTCCTCTAAGGAAGGACAAAAATCATTATGTCCCCTGCCGCGGCATATATTGAAGATCTGACTACAAATCTACTGAATCATAACAACATCAACTCGTCTCAGTTATTTGGGGCGCAAGCATAAATTAAGGCATAACTTGGACCAATTTGGGTCAGTGAATTAATAGGAATATAGACTCGCATCAACTTGTTTGACCCCGAATATCACCCAATGTTTTGATATTTGTTTTGGTTGGACTTCAAACCCTAAGTTTCTTGCATCGTTACCATTTCCATAACCATCTTCAGTCCTTGGGTGCAGCTCTTGAGCAATGAAAACAAAAACAAAAAAAAGGGTTCTTCTTTACATTGAATGAACTTCGAAGGAAAAACAAGTCAAACTTTTCACCCCATCCAGAGGACTAGATTTGTATTGTTAATGTTTTTTATTATACAAATAATATCCTGTACTAGTAGGTCCACTATAAGCTGGGCGGTTCGTTTTGCTCCGCTGGCATGACTGGTATGATACACACACACATTTGCAGACAATTCAAATTCTAAGCACGCAAACACCAGATGTACATCACCACCTTTGATGTCCAGTTGCATGCTGGGATATTGACGTCTAGACTATTTACGTCATTTTTCCCCCGCCAAACTGTTATTATTGCGCGCACTGAGGTGAGGAGATTCCTGCATATTCGCGTTCCCCTCCCCTCAATGCCTCAACGGGCACGCGGTAATGTGGAAACAGTTTCAGGTGCGAGAAGTAATTGGCTTCCTATTGGGCATGGAGTGAAAGTTTCTCTTTCTCTTCGAGGTTGTTACTCAATTTGCTGCTCGTGTTGCTAATGTGTTTCGCTGGCGTTCACACGGGCACCATAGCTGTCAACTCACACTATGCCGTTAAGGATGTGATTAGCTTCAGCTTACTGAGCATCTGGCGCTATAGACTTCAAAGTTACCGCCGTGTTTACTGATGTGTCACGTACCACGAAGTCTGGGTACCAGACGAGCCATAGACAGTCAGCTACGTTGTAATCACGTGGTTTGTTGTGCCAATTCTCGATTTGCAATAACCCTTTGCAATTTGCCCTAACAGTTTCTTTCGGATTCGATTGTCATCGAAAACAATTACAACTAGTCTCATAAACCTGCAGTATTTTTGTTTTCATTACTAGGAAGTTGTAAACGTTAACGATAATATTAACTAATGGAACTTATATTAAATCAGTAGGTATTTAGGTCTTCTTTGTTTTTCAAAGGAGACAGCCCTTAATAAATGCGTCAATGACGAACACGATTTCAGTAACATATTCATGTTGGATTCAAAAGTATAAAAGAAAGTAGCCTATTTTTTTTCTAAAGTTGTTACAATATCACATGATAACTACCAACCAACAATGATTTTAGATCACAGTAATAGTCAACTAATGACATTTAATTCCACACATTGGTATTAAAATACCCATTTTATAGCATCAGACACTGCTCTTCCATCTTCCGCAAAAACATCCTCTGACCCAGAGCTTTTTACAAGTTAAAATGTCATTTTTTGATTGCGACCCAGTTTATACAGCCGTAGGCGCGTGTGGTGACAATCGACGTCCCTAATGCATCCCAGGGATTGAAAAGCAAATATGAAATAGAAGAAATCGTAGGCCATTACTTAACCCACATAAGCAGAGTGCTACCGAGGTATTTCTGAAGTCTTGAATGTCCGTTAGAACGAAAAAAAGGGTTATACTATCAAAGAGGCGGAATTGAAAACCAGAGCACTACGAGACACAATTTGATTACTTTAAGGTTGGTAAAAATAAAATTTAAAAAACACGGAAACGTGTTTGAGCTACCTTTCCTTTCAATTAAACCACAAACCAAGGCCAAACACCGCCGTTCCGTTCACGCTAAAGGAACGGCTGGGTTTTTTTCCAAATAAAGAACTGACGTAAAATATGGCCTTTCAGTGTATTAGTTTATCACTAAAACGAGACGAATTACCCTTTGTTCAAACGTGTACCTTGTGTGAGGCGAACGTTTAATTCTGATCAATCATTGAACCAGGCTCGAGCGTTTAATGCTCTTCATAATAACATAACATGAATTTTACTGAGGAACATATTTTGTGCAACTTTCTACTCCTCTTAAATGCATTAATATTAAACATTCGAAATTATCCATGCTCAGGGCACTGTTGCTGTTGTGGTGTTATTTCAGTTTAGGGGTTTTCTGTTTAATTAAATTGTGAACTCAAAATGTGCTCATTGAAAACATTTGTGAGAAAACTTTCCTCATTTACCTACTCGTCATGTACTGATATAACAACGAATCACCAAAGAAAATAACATTTATGACATAAATATATCCAAAATTCTGGCAACTTTTGTCGTCGGGATAGCTGTAAGATTTAGGTTTCTGCCTGAAATTAAATCACACTTTTGCTAATGAAGTTACAAATCGTCATTAGCATAAACCAATACGACACCAAAATGCCCTTAGAGAAATGGCAAAATGAAAATTGAAAATAAGGTTAAATGTGACACAAAGGGGCATCAACAGGGACCGCATTAAACAATATTATTGGCCCTTTTTTAGTTACTATTTTCATTACAACAGGAACAGAAAAAACACATACTTCACTCAGTGCCCGTCACGTATAGTGTACTTTGAATTTAATAACGCTTTAATCTAAATTATTTTGTTCAAAACTTTTAACATAGAATTTAATGGCAAATTTTACGATAAAAGTGAAATTGTTACTGTGTTCTAACGGTTCTCAGTTAAGTATTTATGACACAACTGCCGTATTTGCCTGCATGAATTAAAAAAAGATGTCTTTATGTCTTATATTGAGTGGTTGTAATACTGTTGGTTCCGAATATGCTCCTATCATGACGTGCCGTATGCACAAATATTGTTTCTAATCTTTCAATCTTAAAAATGACACCCCAAACCCAATGTGTGAAGTAAAAAATAATCACATTATCTATTCTGATGGTTCGCGCGGAAAGTAGTTTACTCAGTTCGATCTTGCATGCAGTTGTGAAAACACATCTTAGAGTAGCGATGCGCAGGGCCTCCAACAGAGCCATCTCTCGATACAGATCGAGCTAAACTGCACTTTGAAGAAGAAGAAAAAAAGTTGAAGAAGATGAAGGAACATCAACGAGGTGTGCTGTGATGATGAGCAATAGCTAATAGTAGAGTCAGCATAGCGTTGCTGCATGGCTCACCCCCTCCTGTGATGAGCAGCTGTCCGTAGGGAGGCGTACTTTAAGTGCAATGATCTCTGCGTGTAGTCAAGTTCTCCAGATGGCTCTGTATTAACAGCTTCCATGCCCTGTGTCTAAGCACTGGATGGTAATGGAGATCATAATTCCCATCTACACGTTAATAACTGAGTTCCGTTTCCCTATTTTGAAAGCCTGCAATGTGTCAGAAAAAAAGAATTAACATCAAACTCCTGAATAAACTCGAGATAATGGCCTTAGATGGTCATGGGTCGCTGGTTCCCACCGCCCAATTCAAGGGCTTACGCTGGTCACCGCAAAGCCCTTCCACAAAAACTTGTGTTGGAAAGATAAGCGGTGCTAAACATTGTGGGTCGGACACTTTCCATGAACTGTATACATTGTAAGTCTTGCTAATGGCGATCATTATTAAGGCCTACATTTCTTTCTCAAACAGGTTGAATTCACACCGGAAATGCTGACCTTAGGTCACCGGCTATAAAGTCTATAAAAAGAGAGCTGAAAGAAATTAGTGGTTACCAGCGCAAAAGTTGAATGTAACCAGCGGTCGCTGGCTCGCCTAATATGATCTGGGACACGAGAAAATAGATGAGAATGTAAAACGCCACCAGCGTTTGAAAACGTGACTTGCTATACCACAAATCAATTCCAACGGAAATCGTAGAGGTCGGTTTAGTTCTAATGACACGTCCACAAAATGATCCAGGGGTCAGTTGTGGTACATCTTGGTATCACTCGCTAATCGGGCGACCTTGTTTGAGTGCCGTCAGGGCAACTTTCATCACATTACTCATCAGTGTGCCCTTGGCTCAACCCTAAGGAGTTATCTCGGCGCCAGACCGACTCATATACATGAACCACCCGGAGACGTTTCCTTTCAGGGGTGAAGATAGTCTGGTCGGGCCGCTGTAGTCTGCATTAGCATGAATACAGCGCAGCGCGGATACAGTATGCTCGGACTTGCTTGGGTTGGGGTGCCAAAGTTCCCAAGACTTGATTCGTCTTGTTGATAGCGCCCTCTGCCGCCTGTACGGCTTGACCAATCCTGCCAAGGACCGGCTGTATTAAATGAATAACATCACAAATCTAGAGTTGGATAGGTCGTTGACATCACGGTCTTTTATCTTGGTACCGCGTGGCGGGTTTACCCCGTGCTGAGTTGTCTTGGAAAACAATGGGGCATACGTGATCTGGCATTTGTACCACAGAGCAAAATGTCATTGGGCTTCGAAGCAGCAAGTAATGCTGAGCATTTGCAAAAAAGTGGATGAAAAACCAGTCACAAGAATAATGCATAATTATATATCTGGAAACAGCAAATATTTTCGTTCTCCATTCTTGTGCTGGGAAAACAATTGACATTGGCCAATTACACCCGAAACTTTTCGAAAGATCTGCCACACATGTTTCATATAATGACGTCAGGGTGCTGCACCGTCAGGACTCTGACGATAGTCTTTGCGGTCCTTTGACTGCGCGTGCGTATCATTTTGGAGGATTGTGGGCTATAGTTGATGGCAGTCTGTGCACCCTTGATAGCGTTATTAGTCTAGGGTATAGGGAACCATTCTCAGTAATGACGAGACGCAAGCAGCACGCCAAAGGTCTACTGAGGTTACACAACGACGTCATTTGTTCCGGAGACGACCAGGAATTCGACAGACAGGCAACCGTTCATGCCCTCACTTTGCCCCAGGGCCCATGATAGCCTGACTCGCTACTCCTCAATTAGCCGGTCACGAGCGGGGCATTTTCGACAAACCCGTCTCTTTTTTTGGTCAGGGTCCGCCGACGGCAGTTGACGTTGATGAAACGGGCTAGTCAGTCGATGGAAATGGACAAGCAGGATCGATAGGGTCGTGGTTGTCGAGTGATTTTCACTGTGCATTCTGGGAACCATTGAACCTTCGTCGATGATAAAACGAAGCAGGAGAAGAACGCTTGAATGAAAGCATAGAAAGATCCCCTTTTGATAACTTGTATCAATATGAAATCCCTAATGTATGCTTTCCGCTGTTTGTTCGCTAGTTTGCATGGGTACACCACACCCTTTGAGCAAGCCCCTGACACTCGCAACGTGACTCACTGAAGCATATCCCAAATGGACATTTAGAAGATGATTGTCTCACTGAGCATGTCTTTTTAATTGCCAAAACATTATTCTTCGTTCAATCAGAGATTTCATGAATGGTTTAAATTTCAAAGTTCATGCACCTCCATGACTACTTTTGATACGAATTCAAAACGTAGTCACTTGATGTTTATACCAGAATCGGAGTTGAGTTCGATTTGTGAATGCAGTGGAGTACATCCCAAGTCCAGTCACAAGTAAATCACTAGTCCAGTCGCAAGTAAATCACTAGTCCAGTCACAAGTAAATCACTAGTCCAGTCGCACGTTCAGTCACAAGTAACAGGGGATGAACAATAACAAAGGTATGTCTTTGTCACTGTTCATTTGAATAGCTTGTGAGTTGAATTGGGACTGGAGTACTTGTGCTGGACTTGTTCTGGACTTGTGCTGGACTTGCAGGGACTTGTGATGGACTCGTCTACATGTACATGTGATCCAATCATCGCAAGTCAATCACTAGTCGTCCAGTCTCCAGTCAAGACAAGGAGATTTATTGAGTGAACTGCATGCCTTTGGCACTGTTCGTCGCTCAGGCCACTTTAACCCACTATGCGATTGACTAGTGATTGACTTGTGATTGACCAGTGATTGACTAGTGATTGACTTGTGATTTGACTTGCAATTGGCTTGTGATTGACTTACAATTGCCTTGTGATTGACTATAGTGATTGACTAGTGATTAACTTGTGGTTGACTCTGCAATAGCCTTGCGATCGACTTATGATTGACTAGTGATGGCTAGTGAATGACTTGTGAATGACTTGTGATTGACTTGTGATTGACTTGTGATTAGCTGGCGATTGACTTGAGATTGACTCGCGAAAAATTTCGGATTGCCCTGATTATCACAACTCTGTCAGCGACAAACGCTAAACTTATTGATAAAACGAATTTGTATATTTTTTTTCAGCGCGGAGCTACAAACTAAGAACTTTCTGCTTGGGTCCGTGGTGAAGATCTTCAGCGATGGGAAGATCATGTGGGGCGCCCCCGTCAACTTCAAGGGATACTGCCTCCTGGACGTCCGGTACTTTCCTTTCGACCATCAGCGATGTGAGATGAAGTTTGGCCCTTGGCAGCATAACGGCAAAGAGATTATCATGAAAGGGCAAGGTAGGGTGAGAACATCCTGGTGGCTATGTGGTTCTTTCTGCAATCAAGCATCGTCCCTGACTGTGGTGCGCATGCGTAAAACCTATCACGTGATCGAAGTGGATTATCACGTGATTTGAGGAAGATTGTGTTCAACAAAATCCTCCCTGGACTGCATTATCTATTTCGTTGAAAAATAACGCATGTGCGTTAAAGTCAGAGTCTATTGTTGGTTGAAGAAAAGATAAATGCATCCGGTTTCGTTTGTATTAAAACGTGTTCACTTCCGATAAAAGGGCGGCTTTAAATTAAAACAAAAGCATACTAAATGCATTTGTTGGAGGGAAACAAATTTGGCGCTCGATCTCATCCCAACAACATGTGTCTGGTGTTGCTAGAGCTACTGTTGAGTGCCTTTTAGCAAAACGTAAGCAGTAGTAATCCATAGACAACTGTCGACAGTCCCCATACATAACGTGTACATTCGTCAGCAGGATACATGTCAACATGAGTTGTGTATCAACATTGGTAGTTGGGTATGCTGCAGGCCTATGTAATGCACAAGAAAACCCCACACGTGAGAGCTCCTTTTGTTGCATCTGGTCACACTCCTTCATAAAATATCAATAAATTTGCATTAGTTGTATATTGGCTGTTTGTGTTAGCCAATATTATCTCTGCAGAGGAAAGCTGTATGGCCAGCCAGAAGCCATAATTATCACCTACCACAGCCATCTGCCGGGAGCGTACCTCTTGAGAACGATCCAAACGTTATCTCGGTGCCCCCTTGTATTGACAGCCATGAGTAGCTTACACCATTTAGGGGTCTCTTATTGTTTACTGAACACTTATTAGGTGTGATCCAATCAAACACATGGCTTACGGCTCCCGGCTTACTGCCTTCAATTGGCTGACATAAGATATTCCAAAAAGCTGATTTTCTGGTCTGAATTCTCAGCCTTCAATTCTCAGTTATTATACAGGGGAGGTAACAGACTATTAGGGGAACTTTATTTGTATGGGTAACAAAGGATTGTTAGTCATTTTTATTTTATTTAATTTGTTTTGGTCAATTTATTTATTGAGGGTTGACGAGGGGAAAGGTTTGCAAACTTGTATGGGAAAAAATCCTTTGGAAAAATTCGTTAAAAGTTCAATTTGGGGAGTGGTTAATGGATGCGGTTTCGTCAGCATAACAACGCCAACTTGGTCCAAAAAATGACGTTTAATTTAAGGATCCTTACTCGGAAAAACCAGAAAATTTCTGGAAATAAGCATACGGCATGCAAGTTATATTTTGTTTTACATTTTCATCACAGTCTCTTTCCATGAGCAAAAAAAAAAGAGGAAAAGGGAAAGACAGAATAGAAAGGGCTAGCACTAGGCCATGTATGTTAATGTAAAAATAGGAAGGGTTTGAAACGCTGCCAAATACATGTGTATTGCCGCGCGCGTGCCGTCACCGCGTAATGGGGAATTTGTTTTTATTGTTGGGCCAATTAGGGCCGAGTTATGGGGACTTTTCGCTGTCCCCACAGTGTCTTCAGTCCCCATAGTACCATGAGACAACTCGTGTGAACGGTGTGTAGTGCCCAGAACTACGGACCAAGTTGGGCCTATGTGTGAACAGCTGTGTTCAATGATGTGGAAGAAAACATTTAAACCATTTATGAATTATATTTGATTTCTTTGCATGACAGGTGACCAGTCCGTCTTCAATAGCAACGGTGAGTGGGACATGACGGGCATCAACACCTCCAACAACGTGGAGTACTACCCAGACGATCCGGGCATCCCTTTCACTGACTGCAAGTTCACCATCAAGTTCTCTCGGCGTTCCGAGTTCTACGTCTTCAATCTGATGATGCCATCTTGCTTGATCTGTCTCATGGCAGCCTTAGCCTTCCTCTTACCCCCGACCTCCCAGGGAAAGGTCAACCTTGGGGTCACCTTCCTGCTGTCCATGACCGTGTTCCTCATGATCGTGGCTGAGTCTATTCCGCCCACCAACCAGGTTCCTGTTATCGGTAAGTAGGCCATATAATCCCATCAAACCTTACCAAAGATTCACAGTATATAGGCTGCCGTAGGCGGCGCAATTTTTGCTCTCTTTGCAATGCCTCATGGGAGAAAAAGTATTTGGAATCGTTACCAAAAGGTATTCTGCATAGGTATTCGAGTCCCAGGACTTGGCCGTACTGCCTTCTACATTCTACATGGTCGAGATTATATTGTACATTGAATATTTTACATTTTGCGAGAACGAGACATGCGAGTTTTATCAGATTTGCGTCAAAACGTCCACAAGACATTATTTTACAAACTAATAAAGGCCGGATACAAGCAGTATTGCTTGGCGATGACATAAAATAAATTATTGAACAGGAGGGTTCTGTCCCAGCCCTCGTAAGGTTGAACGTTTGAGGTCACAGTCGGCATCGTTCGACACCATGATAGACACACTTGGACCGCACGATTGAGCCAAAAGAGTTGAGAAAACGCAATCAGTAAAGTACCCTTCCGCCCTTTGATGACAGAATTAAAGTACGCTGCAGCGTCGATGTTTGTGGTGCCTTGCCCTGTATCCAGAATTTACTTTTTTTTTCGTTGTTGCTTCTTGGAGCTCTTCTATATGTCTTTCAAGTCGACCGAACGAAATCACCACAATTGAACAGTAATCACAGGGGATGTGACGCGATGCGGTAGACCAGGCGGCGACAAATTCTTTCAAGCTGAAAGCTTTCAATAGTAAGACGGTGGATTGCTCCAGTCCCTGCGACCTGGTTAGGTTTCAAATTACAAATGGATTTGTTTGCTACCGTGCGCGCAAATTCATTATTATACCCCTGGAGACGCCTGGTGGCAGCGTTCATAGCAGTAATCACCATTAATTCAAAGCCAGTGCACAATAGGTAAAATACCCCTGGGACGTTTGGGGCCAGCGGGATTTTTTAAATGAAAATGTTGTGTCTTGAGACTTATACAGCAAGTACAGAGACCAAGGCCCCTGGCTGTTGCTTGCTATAAATCAAATTTACAGTGAACATCAAACTTGTTAAATACCAATAATGGTAGAAAGGCTGAATGTATAACCGGATGAATATGCTTGATTAATATGAGAGTGTGATTTATTTATTTCAGGCCAATACTTTGCAGCGACCATGGTGTTGGTATCCCTGTCGCTGGTGCTCAACGTATGCGTCGTGGCCATCTTTAGCCATGCGACCGTGGGCGAGCCGGTGCCCGAATGGATCCGTACTTTCGTCCTGGGCGTGCTATCCGCAGTTGTCCGCATCTCATCCGACGAGATCAGGGACATCCGGCGGGCCAAGTTCCGCCACCGCAGCCACACACACACGGTGCTGACCAAGTCTTCAGGCGGACGGACCAAGTTCACTTCGGTGCCTGTGAACGACGAGACCAAGACGCACGGGGTCAACTACTACATGGACTACATGCCCAACTCACACATGACCAACGACAGTGACAAGTCTAAGCGACAAAGCGAGCAGTTCGAGGCGCTGACGCGAGAACTGAAGAGGATGAACGAGACTCTGAACAACATGAAGCTGGGTGAGAAGAGATTTAGTGTAGACCAGAGACGAAACTACCGGGAATGGGTGTTGGTGTCCCGGGTACTGGACAGGACTTTCCTGGTGCTTTATCTTATCGGTAATGTAATGGCAGTCGTACTACTCGTACTGCCCGTGATGATTATGAAACCCGAAGTACCAATGACGGAACACTGACGTTTGATCTGCCGGTGCGAGCGCTTCAGATGTACTATCACAGACGAATTATTAATGAGTGGTGTTCTAATTGAGGAATTGGTTAATCGGGAACGGAGCATCGATAGGCTCGAGAGCGACGGCTGGTGAAGACTACGAGTATCAAGACCACGCCCACTGTATGATTCAAAATCGATGGCGTTCAGTTACAAATCATTTCACCGTTTGTTAAACTCTCGTTTAGGTTACGCGACGTTCGTGACAAATTAAATGAAATAAGCAACCATTAGGGTAGCTTCAATCCATGACTACATGTATTGCCATGGACTATGGCTGATAACATAAATATGTCAGTCGATGTACTATCTGTATCATTACGATTTATCACGGTTCTTCCTTTACTGGTTTGATTCTTTTATGAACGTCAAAATGAAGTGGGAAATGTGGCAAGTTATTCCAAAAATAGGGATGACGTAACAGTAGTCGTTGTATGACGACCTCGCTTGCATCTGACTATCCGACGACTGTTGTTTCACCCGACGCATGCGTATCATAGACTGATCCACATCTATCGGACCATTGAGAAACAGTTGTCAAGTTTACGCGTGGTGTTCATACCAAATCGAGGAATCAAGGTATTAGACCTTTCTTGTTCCAACGCGGACTATAAACTTGACTGACCTGACTGGTGACTTGACCGTTGAGGACTGGACTGGCCTGTGCAAAATGTCAGAAATTAATTTTACCGTGACTTGCTTAACTGGTATCCCCGCATTTCAATAAAGCTGTCTGTATAGAGAACCAGAGACTAGTTTTGTGGTCAATGCTGGGAGACTTTGAGACTCTTGGTGGCAGCAAACACACCGGTCCTTTGGGGGGTATTTTTGCGCAGGCGCACACATTGTGCAGGCATCAATTACTTTTTCTGCAAGCAAGTATTATAATACTCAATTACCACAACGCGCATGCGTCAGTTGGTACGAAATGGTTCTCGGACTGAACTTCCCTTTAAAAAAATCCCCCGGACCTATGAATGAGAAAGAAAGTGTGAAATTTATTTTATTGGTCATCAGGACTTGATTAATCAAAATTTAGCGAAGCAAAAACAATTTTTTTGGGGGGGGGATGAAAATGTAAAATTCCTTCACGATTCCAACACCCAACCTGCAGCATTCAGACCGTAGATTTAGCGCAGCATGCTTTGGCGAAACCAAACTGACTGCCGTGGAATATAAATTATAGTATTTTTTTGCCGAATCAGGTGATATTTATATGTTCACGTGATATGTTTCACGCATGCGTATGACAATCAATGATTTTACCAAAATGCCAAAAAAAAACAGTTTGCGTTCTGGCATAATGGAACAAAATGTGAAACCAAACTTTGCCGATTGTAGTTGAAAACTGCATACATTGAATTAAGATGCTTAAATGTCCTATAGTTAGAAAACAAGCTCCGATAATATTGTAGGGAACTAAAACTCAATTCACATACGTGACATAGTTTTAGTACTCGCGCTCGTACTGGAGAAAACAAATTGGTACGGGTATTCGTACTCGAACTCGTGCTCATGCTAATGTACTCTTACACTAGAAGTCGCAAGAAAAAAATGTTTGCTCTTATTGTAATCGTACTCACAAAATAAGTACTATAATTGCAAATGTTCTCCACCAGTAAGATCATTTTTTTTAAAGTACATACAGGGGAAAACAGTTTTACTTTTTGGGAGGTGTCTGAATTAGTTTAATGCTAAGTTTGACAGCAAGAAGCCCTAGAGAACACGTGACTCATTAAAAGTTACTCGAATTTGTGGAAAGTAATCGTACTCGTACTCGAGCACAGATTTGGTACTTGTACTCGGACTCATGAAAATGTACTCGACTACAACACTGATATGTGATAACCAAGGACAACCCAAGGAAGACTTAGTAGTTTAACATCAAGCTTATTGGTCTAGGAACCCCACAATAGCCAATCAGTTTTGGATGCATGGGTCAAAGGTCAAGGTCATTATGGTTATAAAATGCAAAAGGATTTTCAGGAACACTCTAAAATATATTTGGCATATGACCTTAAAACCTGATATAGTTTGGGGTTTTTTGAGTCCCCAGACTTCAAAACCAAAGCAAAACTCTATAAAATTATGTATTAAAGAACAATCGGAGCAATCGTGATTTGTTCAAATCCTTTGCCGGGAACTCGAGAATATTTACGTCTGACCAAACGCATTTTCAAAATAATAAAAAACAAAGCGTCTTAAAAGCTGCTTTTACGGCAATTCGAGTGTAACTTAAATTTTGTACCGTTGTTTGACAAAGACAAACTTAGTCCTTGACGATAATCATTTGGATCAACGGATCGTTTCAAACCGATAGATTTCCTGACCGTTTTAAAGACCCGGATTAAGCTGATTTGAAAATTTGGTAGTAGCTGCAACTTTGCCGGTTTTGAAGGTTACTCTTTATCAAAATAATGTTCATACTTAATGATAATTGTAGTCTCTATTAAAACTGGTCTTCTGTCGCGATCTAGGCCATATGGCGGTCAATTTGTCTTCGGTTGAAACCACAAATGAAACGGTCACGTTGCAGTGTAAAGATTAAGTTACTGGTTGAATTAAGTGAAGCTTTAATAGCTTGATCCTGTTTAGTTAAAGGCCAATAATTTCCATAGTATAGCAATATTCAAATAAAAAGCTTGATTTCGTCTTCTGGGTCAAAGTTAAACGTATACTATGCACTTCATTTTCGTATATCCAATTAATGAATACTTTCCGTTAAGATTTCTGAAGTTATGTACGAGATCTTATGTGGCATTAATAAGAGATTGTGTTTTATTTAAATGAATGACCTTTAAGTGATTTAGATTGGGATACTCATTCGAACACCATCCTCACATCGGTATTAAAAGACATATCGTTTATTTAAACAATTTTGGCCCATTCCAAATCAAGGTTATCAACGAATCAAGTACAGCTATTGAATTAGTTTTAAAAAAAGTAATGACATGAATTATGAACAATTTTTGAGATTTGAATCGTCGTTTATATGTAAAGAGCGCTAAAACTGTTTTGTTTTAATAACCACGTATATGCTACATAAGCTAGTTGTCTTTCTGTGAGAGATTTTAACAAAGTAAATCTTCAGTTGAATCTATAAGCCTTAATATATGCTTAGGGTTGAAACAATGTTATATGTAAATGAATCAAATAAGTCTATTCATAACAGTGCGATAAAATCTGGGAGAAAATGAAAATAGTTAATGTAAATAATCGATCATATAAATAAAATTGCAATATTAAAGGGACGTAGGCCTTTGTTCAACACAAATGACATTATATTTAAATAAGTGGTTAACTGAAAGTATCAAAATTCATCTTAAATTTTATTTTACAGAAGTTTGGTTAAAAACAAAACCTGCGGAAGATGCTGTAGGTTTTTCCCATGATGGTAACATAAGGAGCTTTCCATTTTTAAACAGAGAATGCTGCAGCACGATGTATTTTTGCGCGAAATGGGGTGAGTAACCGACACGAATGACTGCTGCATTAATACTTCATTAATGTTTCATGTTCAGTTCCTCTGCCATCGAGCATTCATGTCTATTTCATGTTATTATGACACATCAGTGTAAAAACACGATCAGGCAAAACCAGTGAAGCTGAGAGCAGAGCCGGCCCATTCATTTGCATTACGAGGTAACACGTCCAAACATTTGGGCCAATGTAAGACTTAAGCAAGTCTAAGTGACAGTCACTGAGTGAGTTAGTAGACTGACCCCTTTGAACCCAGCTCAAAAAAATAATAATCTTTAGGTGACACTTATAAAACTTTATATATTTCAAGTTTAATTGTAACAAGTTAGTGCAAAAACATAAAAACCGTATTTGTAATGAAATATTCGATCTTATGGAAGTATGCCTGGTGATAAAGAAAAATAGTAGAAGGTACAAGATGACTTTGTTTTTCAGTATTTTTCCTGTTACATTTTTTCAGTCGGGTTACCGCAGTTTTTCAATCATGATATGCATTTCATTCTAAGAGATTTACTCTAATTAATTGTAAATAATGTTCAATTTATATAAAAAACGAGCTTGAACTAAAATATAAACCATAGCATGATATGTATTAAACTGTCATTATTGTTATCAAAACAAATCAAAATTGCACATTGTCTCGGTTTATAATTGTGTTATATCAAGTTGCAAACAGCGGCTAAATTTGTTTTCATTGATCGTACCTCTTTAAAGGAACAAACCAACCGTTTTTAGTTTGCCCTCAAGGATGCAGGTCAGCAAGTCGGTCCGAAATCGCCTACGCCGGCCAGATCATTTGAAGGTCGTGAACTTGATGATTTGTTAAAAAAAAAAGAGACTGTTGGAAGCCGTGCAGAGGACTGCGAGCTCGTATTTCTAAGAAATGTGAATGAAATAAGGCCCTAAATGGCTTTATTTTGCAATGGAGCGTAGGCGTCTATTTTCGAATGACGATGGGCTTCAGGACTGCTTTTAGAATGTTTTTTTGCTCAATCTGCCAACATTTGGGCGTTTGAATATTGATTGGTGCTCCATTCGTCTGCAGAGAAAAAATCCATTTTTGGCCAAATTTTGTTAAAAATGTAAGGCTAACCCCTTGCATTTTTTTCAATTTTGGCCAAAAAAATGAAATTCCTTGAAACTTGCAGGAAAGATGCCTAAGGTAACCCTGAACACATTCCAATTCGATTAGGGAACAGATGTGCCTTTGAAATGTAATTTTAGTGGAAAATTATGGGTACAAACAGTCAAAAATCATTTCTTTTTTTTATTGATTTCCTCCTACCAAAATGGATGCTTTTTGGTTAAATCTGCCAAATTCGGGCGTTTGTATATTGATTGGCACTCCACTCGTCTCCAGAAGAATTTCTGCGTTGTTTAGAGAAAAATCAATTTTTGGCCAAATTTTGTTAAAAATGTAAGGCTAACCCCTTGCATTTTTGTTCAATTTTGGCCAAAAAATGAAATTCCTTGTAACTTGCAGGAAAGATGCCTAAGGTAACCCTGAACATATTCCAATTCGATTCGGGAACAGACGTGTCTAGGAAAAGAAATTCTGGCCGAAAATTTATAGCAAAAACGGTCAAAATTCATTCTTTTTTTGTAGATTTCCTCCTACCAAAATGGATGCTTTTAGGGTAAAATCTGCCAAAATTCGGGCCTTTGAATATTGATTTGCGCTCCACTCTTCTAAAAAGGAATTTCTGCGTTGTTTAAAGAAATATCAATTTTTGGCCAAATTTTGTTAAAAATGTAAGGCTAACCCCTTGCATTTTTTTCAATTTTGGCCAAAAAATGAAATTCCTTGAATCTTGCAGGAAAGATGCCTAAGGTAACCCTGAACACATTCCAATTCGATTCGGGAACAGACGTGTCTAAGAAAAGACGTTGTGGCCGAAAATTTATAGCAAAAACAGTCAAAATTCATTCTTTTTTGTAGATTTCCTCCTACCAAAATGGATGCTTTTAGGGTAAAATCTGCCAAAATTCGGGCGTTTGAATATTGATTGGCGCTCCACTCGTCTCCAGAGGAATTTCTGCGTTGTTTAGAGAAAAATCAATTTTTGGCCAAATTTTGTTAAAAATGTAAGGCTAACCCCTTGCATTTTTTTCAATTTTGGCCAAGAAATGTAATTCCTTGAAACTTGAAATTCGGGCGTTTTAATATTGATTTGCGCTCCACTTGTCTCCAGAGGAATTTCTGCGTTGTTTAGAGAAAAATCAATTTTTGGCCAAATTTTGTAAAAAAAAGGAAGGCTAACTAACCCCTTGCATTTTTTTCAATTTTGGCCAAAAAATGTAATTCCTCGAAACTTGCAGGAAAGATGCCTGAGGTAACCCTGAACATATTCCAATTCGATTCGGGAACAGACGTGTCTAGGAAAAGAAATTCTGGCCGAAAATTTATAGCAAAAACAGTCAAAATTCATTCTTTTTTTGTAGATTTCCTCCTACCAAAATGGATGCTTTTAGGGTAAAATCTGCCAAAATTCAGGCGTTGAATATTGATTTGCGCTCCACTCTTCTCAGAAGGAATTTCTGCGTTGTTTAAAGAAAAATCAATTTTTGGCCAAATTTTGTTAAAAATGTAAGGCTAACCCCTTGCATTTTTTTCAATTTTGGCCAAAACATGTAATTCCTTGAAACTTGAAATTCGGGCGTATTAATATTGATTTGCGCTCCACTTGTCTCCAGAGGAATTTCTGCGTTGTTTAGAGAAAAATCAATTTTTGGCCAAATTTTGTTAAAAATGTAAGGCTAACCCCTTGCATTTTTTTCAATTTTGGCCAAAAAATGAAATTCCTTGAAACTTGCAGGAAAGATGCTTAAGGTAACCCTGAACACATTCCAATTCGATTAGGGAACAGATGTGCCTTTGAAATGTAATTTTAGTGGAAAATTATGGGTACAAACAGTCAAAAATCATTTCTTTTTTTTATTGATTTCCTCCTACCAAAATGGATGCTTTTTGGTTAAATCTGCCAAATTCGGGCGTTTGTATATTGATTGGCACTCCACTCGTCTCCAGAAGAATTTCTGCGTTGTTTAGAGAAAAATCCATTTTTGGCCAAATTTTGTTAAAAATGTAAGGCTAACCCCTTGCATTTTTTTCAATTTTGGCCAAAAAATAAAATTCCTTGAAACTTGCAGGAAAGATGCCTGAGGTAACCCTGAACATATTCCAATTCGATTCGGGAACAGACGTGTCTAGGAAAAGAAATTCTGGCCGAAAATTTATAGCAAAAACAGTCAAAATTCATTCTTTTTTTGTAGATTTCCTCCTACCAAAATGGATGCTTTTTGGTTAAATCTGCCAAATTCGGGCGTTTGAATATTGATTAGCGCTCCACTCGTCTCCAGAAGAATTTCTGCGTTGTTTAGAGAAACATCAATTTTTTGCTAAATTTGTTACAAATGTAAGGCTAACCCCCTTGCATTTTTTTCAATTTTGGCCAAAAAATGAATTCCGTGAAACTTGCAGGAAAGATGCCTAAGGTAACCCTGAACACATTCCAATTCGATTAGGGAACAGATGTGCCTTTGAAATGTAATTTTAGTGGAAAATTATGGGTACAAACAGTCAAAAATCATTTCTTTTTTTTATTGATTTCCTCCTACCAAAATGGATGCTTTTTGGTTAAATCTGCCAAATTCGGGCGTTTGTATATTGATTGGCACTCCACTCGTCTCCAGAAGAATTTCTGCGTTGTTTAGAGAAAAATCAATTTTTGGCCAAATTTTGTTAAAAATGTAAGGCTAACCCCTTGCATTTTTTTCAATTTTGGCCAAAAAATGAAATTCCTTGAAACTTGCAGGAAAGATGCCTAAGGTAACCCTGAACATATTCCAATTCGATTCGGGAACAGACGTGTCTAGGAAACGAAATTCTGGCCGAAAATTTATAGCAAAAACGGTCAAAATTCATTCTTTTTTTGTAGATTTCCTCCTACCAAAATGGATGCTTTTAGGGTAAAATCTGCCAAAATTCGGGCATTTGAATATTGATTTGCGCTCCACTCTTCTAAAAAGGAATTTCTGCGTTGTTTAAAGAAAATCAATTTTTGGCCAAATTTTGTTAAAAATGTAAGGCTAACCCCTTGCATTTTTTTCAATTTTGGCCAAAAAATGAAATTCCTTGAATCTTGCAGGAAAGATGCCTAAGGTAACCCTGAACACATTCCAATTCGATTCGGGAACAGACGTGTCTAAGAAAAGACGTTGTGGCCGAAAATTTATAGCAAAAACAGTCAAAATTCATTCTTTTTTTGTAGATTTCCTCCTACCAAAATGGATGCTTTAAGGGTAAAATCTGCCAAAATTCGGGCGTTAGAATATTGATTGGCGCTCCACTCGTCTCCAAAGGAATTTCTGCGTTGTTTAGAGAAAAATCAATTTTTGGCCAAATTTTGTTAAAAATGTAAGGCTAACCCCTTGCATTTTTTCAATTTTGGCCAAAAAATGTAATTCCTTGAAACTTGAAATTCGGGCGTTTTAATATTGATTTGCGCTCCACTTCTCTCCAAAGGAATTTCTGCGTTGTTTAGAGAAAAATCAATTTTTGGCCAAATTTTGTTAAAAATGTAAGGCTAACCCCTTGCATTTTTTTCAATTTTGGCCAAAAAATGTAATTCCTTGAAACTTGCAGGAAAGATGCCTAAGGTAACCCTGAACACATTCCAATTCGATTAGGGAACAGATGTGCCTTTGAAATGTAATTTTAGAGGAAAAGCATGGGTACAAACAGTCCAAAATCATTTCTTTTTTTTATTGATTTCCTCCTACCAAAATGGATGCTTTTTGGTTAAATCTGCCAAAATTCGGGCGTTTGTATATTCATTGGCACTCCACTCGTCTCCAGAAGAATTTCTGTGTTGTTTAGAGAAAAATCAATTTTTGGCCAAATTTTGTTAAAAATGTAAGGCTAACCCCTTGCATTTTTTTCAATTTTGGCCAAAAAATGAAATTCCTTGAAACTTGCAGGAAAGATGCCTGAGGTAACCCTGAACACATTCCAATTCGATTCGGGAACAGACGTGTCTAGGAAAAGAAATTCTGGCCGAAAATTTATAGCAAAAACAGTCAAAATTCATTCTCATTTTTTATTGATTTCCTTGACAAAAATGGATGCTTTTTGGTTAAATCTGCAAAATTCGGGCGTTTGAATATTGATTGGCGCTCCACTCGTCTCCAGAAGAATTTCTGCGTTGTTTAGAGAAACATCAATTTTTTGCTAAATTTGTTACAAATGTAAGGCTAACCCCTTGCATTTTTTTCAATTTTGGCCAAAAAATGAATTCCTTGAAACTTGCAGGAAAGATGCCTAAGGTAACCCTGAACACATTCCAATTCGATTAGGGAACAGATGTGCCTTTGAAATGTAATTTTATTGGAAAATTATGGGTACAAACAGTCAAAAATCATTTCTTTTTTTTATTGAGTTCCTCCTACCAAAATGGATGCTTTTTGGTTAAATCTGCCAAAATTCGGGCGTTTTAATATTGATTTGCGCTCCACTTGTCTCCAGAGGAATTTCTGCGTTGTTTAGAGAAAAATCAATTTTTGGCCAAATTTTGTAAAAAAAAGGAAGGCTAACCCCTTGCATTTTTTTCAATTTTGGCCAAAAAATGTAATTCCTTGAAACTTGCAGGAAAGATGCCTAAGGTAACCCTGAACATCTTCCAATTCGATTCGGGAACAGACGTGTCTAGGAAAAGAAATTCTGGCCGAAAATTTATAGCAAAAACAGTCAAAATTCATTCTTTTTTTGTAGATTTCCTCCTACCAAAATGGATGCTTTTAGGGTAAAATCTGCAAAAATTCAGGCGTTTGAATATTGATTTGCGCTCCACTCGTCTCCAGAGGAATTTCTGCGTTGTTTAGAGAAAAATCAATTTTTGGCCACATTTTGTTAAAAATGTAAGGCTAACCCCTTGCATTTTTTTTCAATTTTGGCCAAAAAATGTTATTCCTTGAAACTTGAAATTCGGGCGTTTTAATATTGATTTGCGCTCCACTTGTCTCCAGAGGAATTTCTGCGTTGTTTAGAGAAAAATCAATTTTTGGCCAAATTTTGTTAAAAATGTAAGGCTAACCCCTTGCATTTTTTTCAATTTTGGCCAAAGAATAAAATTCCTTGAAACTTGCAGGAAAGATGCCTGAGGTAACCCTGAACACATTCCAATTCGATTCGGGAACAGACGTGTCTAGGAAAAGAAATTCTGGTCGAAAATTTATAGCAAAAACAGTCAAAATTCATTCTTTTTTTGTTGATTTCCTCCTACCAAAATGGATGCTTTTTGGTTAAGTCTGCCAAAATTAGGGCGTTTGAATAGAGATTGGCGCTCCACTTGTCTCAAGAGGAAATTCTGCGTTGTTTAGAGAAAAATCAATTTTTGGCCAAATTTTGTTTAAAATGTAAGGCTAACCCCTTGCATTTTTGTTCAATTTTGGCCAAAAAATGAAAGTCCTTGTAACTTGCAGGAAAGATGCTTAAGATAACCCTGAACACATTCAAATTCGATTCGGGAATAGATGTGGGTTTGAAAAGAAATTGTGGCCGAAAATTTATAGCAAAAACAGTCAAAATTCATTCTCTTTTTTTATTGATTTCCTTGACAAAAATGGATGCTTTTTGGCTATATCTGCCAAAATTAGGGCGTTTGAATATTGATTGGCGCTCCACTTGTCTTAAGAGGAATTTCTGCGTTGTTGAGAGAAAAATCAATTTTTGGCCAAATTTCGTTAAAAATGTAAGGCTAACCCCTTGCATTTCTTTAAATTTTGGCCAAAAAATGAAATTCCTTGAAACTTGCAGGAAAGATGCTTAAGGTAACCCTGAACACATTCCAATTCGATTCGGGAACAGATGTGCCTTTTAAAAGAAATTGTAACCGAAAAATTATAGCAAAAACAGTCAAAATAAATTCTCTTTTTTTGATTTCCTCCCCCCCCCCAAAAAAATGGATGTTTTTTGGCTAAATCTGCCGAAATTCGGGCGTTTGAATATTGATTGGCGCTCCACCCGTCTTAAGAAGAATTTCTGCGTTGTTTAGAGAAAAATCTATTTTTAGCCAAATTTTGTTAAAAATGTAAGGCTAACCCCTTCCATTTTTTTCAATTTTGGCCAAAAAATGAAATTCCTTGAAACTTGCAGGAAAGATGCCCAAGGTAACCCTGAACACATTCCAATTCGATTCGGGATCAGATGTGCCTTTGAAAAGAAATTGTGGCTGAAAAAAATTATTTTAGCCGAAAATTTAGGGTTCAAACCGTCAAAAATCATTCTTTATTTTATGGATTTCTTCCCCCCAAAATGGATGCTTTTTGGCTTAATTTAGGGTTCAAACCGTCAAAAATCATTCTTTATTTTATAGATTTCTTCCCCCCAAAATGGATGCTTTTTGGCTTAATCGGCCGCTGATCCGTGGGGGGGGGGGGGGGGGGGGGGGCTGGTTATGGACACACATGTCTGAACACGTTTCAAAAAGAAACATATATAACTGCCTCACACACTAACTGCCAATAACAAAACAAACAATTTACAATCATTTTTAAAATCATCGCTTTATTTAAACAAATTGATCAAAATTAATTGTCAAAAACGTACCAAGTGTTAATAATTATGATGACCGAAATTTGTACTTTTTACACAAAGGTCATGGCCGAAGTTAGCATTTTCTGTAAACGAGGGCGCACGTATATCAATTAGCCATTACAGGAAAGAAAACAAAAAGTTACAGTAAGCTCGTTTTTGTTTTCAAGTTTTTTTGAGATTCAAAGGAAATTATTAACTACAAATTAATTAAAATACATTCTAGTGGTTGTTATGGTCTTACACACAGAGGGCGCTATTAGTATTACTGTTTATAAATTACCATGTTGTAGTATTTACGTGGTTAGCTGCATTTGATTCAATTAAGTATTACTTTTTTCCTGTAATGCGATTTTCGGAGTGAATTTTGCATTCAACGATGCAATCTTAAACATTCAATGTATTCCCGTGGCTGAAACAATCTTGTAACAGAATTATAATAAATTAATAAGATGCATATATTGAATTGCAATGTGTAATACACACATTGTATTATAATTATTATTATTTAAGTTAAACATGTGTAAAAGTGCTAACATTATAGGTGTGTCGCATTTTAAAAAAGAAAGCTGCAACATAGAAATACTGTTAAAAATTAGTTACGGGTAACTTTTGGGGGTATTCTGGTAAGAGTGTTTCTCCCCGCAGATTCCAACAAAGATAAGAATTCACTTGAACACATTTTACTCGAATAATTATAATAATGTACGTACATACATATCATATACTGCAAAATATAATATATTGAAAACTTCTAATTATGAAACATAATTTTGCATGTAGTCTTCGTGATTTTCGTGCACACGAAGCACTACACAAGGTTGTTCAACGATTACACTTGAATGAGGGCTTATACAAAGAATAAATTCATATATAATTTTCTAATACTGAATTCTTCCCCTTACCGAAGCAATTTTGGTTTTTAGCATCAGCAGGTTCTCTGCAATCAACGACTCATGAATGCTTTGAAAAAATATTTGTCAGTGAAGGGCAAGACTATGTACTGAAAAAAATAACATCTTAAAACTTGTTTTTTTTAAATAGCAGTTGTTTTCTTCTTTTGAAAATTGTGTTTATAATAATAATTAGTATTTTACCGCAAATTTTCAAAACCTTGAACCACCTATTGTTTCCCCACTGCAATTGTATAATCCCATAGTTTTATTTGTAGTAATTGAACATTGGACATTTCTGTATCTGTTTACAGTCACCACGAGTGGCGATATTACCAGTTAAATCATCGTAAATTCTCAACACAATTCGAACCACCACACCCATAGACCTCATATCACTTATCCTGTCGAAATCGAATTCTCTCACCACAAAACACCATAGTCACGTTATTTTGACAGATTCCAAAACTTAAAACTGTTTTCCATCCATTTCATAATCACAACATTTCGATTTGAAAACATATTTCCCACATCATCACTGACATCACACTTACATCATCAGTAAAATCTCCATTCTCACCACCATCACCCGAAGCATCACCATCACATTCTCACCCTCAGCACCCTCATCATGTCAAGTCTCACCACAACCTTTCACCACCATGAACATCATTAACACAAAAAGCTTTCACCAACATTCACTCCAAAGTCACCCCCATCTCGGGTACTGTATCACTGTACGCGTGGTAACAATGTGCCGCCATCTCACCCCGTGTCATCTCATTAATATTCCTACCAACAATTCATCGCATCAACGCACAGGGAAAGTGACAAGATTAATCAAACACTGCCTGGAGTGGGATCGAACCTGCAACCTCCAGATTGCCCTGCAAACCTTGGCCCACTGAAGGTAAATTATACTTCTTACCTTTTTCCCCCAATTTCTCGAAAGAGTCACAAGAGTTTGTTTCTGTGCCAAACTTACCTAAGTACGCACAAACGTCTCACATTAACAATCCGAACTGTGCATGCTTCGTTGCAAAATTGGTAATGTTGGCACAGTAACGAGGAAAGATGATTATGCTAATTACTAATCCATGGCACGCAACATTTCGTTATGATGTATTATTATAACTATCACCATTGTTTAGTTCAAAACATGGCAATATCGCCAGAATTCCACTGGAAAGTACAATTTTACACATTCCAAACGTTTCACCTAGTTTGCCCCGAAACGTAAGTAACATAGGGCCTAATACTTAACACCATAATAAGCGCAGATTACTTTTTGTCAAAATTATCCATTCTTAGATCTATTGCAAAAAAAATGAAATTACTAAATAAATACCGTCTTTTGATATTATATCAGAGATCTGTTTCACAAAGTAAAGAATTTGCGCCCTCTATAGCGACATGGCTTCAGAATCATTCCATAGGGGGCGTGCTTTATCTTCGACGGATGATTGAGAGGGCGGGAAGAGTTTTATTCAACTAATATTTACCAAGTAAAATCCCCTTTAAATACCTCACAATCGAACTGTAAGCGTTTTTGAAAATTACTCACACGATAAACAAAGCTGCATAATGGCATTATGGAAATCTAAAAGGTTAGAACAAATCTTACTGCAATCTGTTAATTATATTTATCAAGGATTATATTATTTATGTATATGATATACTTTTAAGAACACATAAATACCGCAACTATTACATAAATTATAAATTGACCCTAATTAAAAGACAATCGTTAATGTTTGTTTCGGAACTGAGGGTGCAACTCAAAGTTTCGCACTTCTACTCTAAAGTTTCACGAATAAGATAAAGAGCTTTGGTAAAATAATATATATTATTCATTGTCTTTGGTTAAAATCTGTCCCTTTCACTGAAAGACCAATTACAATGACCTGTCGACCGATAACACTCCAAGGACACAAAACTACAGATAGTCAGAAGTATTCAAAACACAGCATAAGATCATCGTTATTTGTTTTTGTTTTTGTTTTTACAAATATTAGAAGGAAGAGTCGCACTGACACAAGCCGTTACAATGCACCACACCTCGTCCAATTGGTCCTACAACAGCAGAGGGCGCACTCACAAGCAGAAAACGATTGACAAAATTATTGTTAGAAAATATACAGTATAAGTGCTTAAGCGTATTGCTTAAAGAAGGCATCACATTTCAAACGTATTTTGGTTTTTCCCCACTTCCTGATTCTTTAGGGCCTGCCCTAATTCTTACATAAATTCGTAAAGAGCGCCCTCACTCTATACTAATCGAGATCCGTAGCAAAAAGGCGGAAAACGTAATCCATTTTGCACAAGAGAACTGCAAATCATTTGTATCGTTTAAATGAAAATTATTTCTTTTAAGAACTCTCTGTAATTCGTAACAGGCGGTGTGCGCTGCTGCAGCGGCGCTGTCTATGTGCATTTTGCTGATCTCAAAATTGCAATTAACATTGAAAACCACTAGCTTTAATCGTTCATTTCCATAATGCAGAATCAACATAAAATTGACCTGACGACAAGTCGTCGTTCACGTACGTACGGATCATGAATCGCAACCAGAGTTAACCGTTTTCGATCCGACGTTGAATTATAATTTACCAACATAAAAGATGTTCATATTGTATAATAATAATAATTTATTTTGTATATACAAGTTTGAATTCCCCGATAGAGAGTTGGTACTTCTCTTTTACCATGATCGCGAGATCAATTGATGAATTATCAACGCGTTGAATATTCCATCAGTAAACTATTGGTTGAACTAGGCATATTTTGGACGTATTGAATCGATGGATAACAGTATCTTGTCACAGACTCTCTACGTGCATGATAAGCTCACTGGGATAGTCTGGCCACCACAAGGTCCAGTTAGTGTTTATAGTGAGCTTATCGTTCGACTCCAAATTGGCGTGACTCCATTATTGGCATCGCCTTGAAATTACGCATGCGTACTATGTGCCTATCTCACCAGCCAGATGGTTCTGCACGCGATCTTGTCCAATTTCCATTCGCCACCCAACAAAACAAAAGTGCGCCCTCAAGTGTCCACTTGGTTGGCCTTACCTACGCCCTTAAGTGTTCGTCGAGACCATGAGTAGAACTCCCCGTTACAAGTTATATCAAACGTCTGGGCGTAAACTTGGGATTCAGTAAGATACACCCGCACGACGGCTTTTATAAGCGAATCCAAACAAACAAAGGGAGAAACTTTCTACACCAAATGTCAAGTTTCACCAGGAAGCAATGAGCTTTAAGGGGACCAGAACGCGATGGAGGAGGCGATGTGTCATTGGTAATCAGTTTAATATCTAGGGGTTGCCTGTTTGTTCTGAGGGTTTGAAAAATATTTTGGTAGATGTTTTTACAAAAAGTTCGTTCCCCGGAATCTGAATGTCAGATTTGGATGAAAAACACGACAAAGGTACCAGCAGACCCTATGAGACATACCACAAAGAACAGCCTGTCTAGCACAATGGCAACGCGTTTCCACTCCGTCTGCACACGCCGGGAATTCATCTCCACCTCGATACTGAAGGTAATCTTCTGCATTTCTCGCAGGAGGGCTAGATAGAGCGAGCGATTCCGATGGAGCGAGTCCCGTACGGATCCCACCCCGCCATCGCCTCCTCCTCCCCCGCCACCCCCAGCGGGCTTACCCTGGTCAGCTTCATCGGGCGTGTTGCTGTTAGGACCCCCGCAGCCATTGGAGACGATTCGTGAACGGGAGGAAGTTGAGTTGGCCGTGACCTCGGCTATCAGACTCTTGGTCTCCCAGGAGCGCAGCTCGTTAGCTAGCTTGTCGCCGATGGTGGGTCGGCGCTTAGACCGGCTGCTCTCAGACGGTAACAGGACCCGACCGATGCCATTCAGGATGTAGCGCTTGATCCAAGGCGGGACGGGTTTGCAATCGGGCCCGCGGTGGTGCATGTTGAGTACTGTCACGGACATACCGATGGAAATGGAGATCAGAACCATCGTGCAGGCGAAATATTGACCTGCAAACAAACAAATCCCACAGTCGATCAAATCAATGCACTCAGTTTACTTGTTTGTTTACCGTTTGGTTACAGAAGAGGCGTTTAACGAGTGAAAACAAAAATAAGAATATTGATTTTTTTATTATTAAAGACGATTCTGCTCAATAAATGAGGAAGGGAGGGTGAGCAGAGCGTCGTTTATTAAAGAGGAAAATCAACATTTAACTCTGAACTTATGGTCAAAAGGGGCGCTCTGCTCCAATTGAATTGCTAACTTCCTGTCACGTGACATGGACCTTTGGTATATTATCAAGATTGTGTATGTAGAGCACAAACTGAAGTTACTTGGGAGCCATGTTTAGAGCCACGACGTAGAGAAAGGCATATCTGTGCGTTGTGCGTATTATGCACTGATCCGACAGAGGGATCCGAGTTTGTTGGGGCCCGAACATAGCGGCGGCCATATTGGGAGGCCAAACAGTGACTTGCGGCGGCTTCACATGCCGGTCTTACCGATAATTGGCACCGTGCTTGTGGGCGGCATAGTCTCCGCTACCAGCAGCAGGAAGACCGTGAGCGACAGTAGCACCGTCACACCAAGGCTAACCTTCTCACCAGACTCAGGGGGTAAGAAGAAAGTCAACAGCGACACCAGCGACAGGAACATGCAGGGGAAGAGCAGGTTAAACAGGTAGTACAGAGGCCTTCTCCGAAATAAAACCTACAAATGGATTTTATAAAAAAAAAACCAACTGACATTTACTATCTTTCCTGAATGTGGGAAGAGCCTAATAATATTATCCCCCAACCCAGGTCTACCCTGCTGGAAGTTCATGTTTCAATAAACCAAAGAATGGCAAATCTAGGATCACTATTTTACCACGCCAGGGCAGATCTGGGAGAGGTATGTGATACGACGGCGCCCTCAATCGGATTTTTCTTATAATGGACGGTTATGTTACTTTCATCCACTCAACGACAAAAGCTGGGTAATTATCTTTAATCCGTCATCCTTTTCGTCGCAATCATATTTTCCCACTGTTTTCTCCCTTAATAATCTCACTATTCTCGTCTTTCTTATGAAAGAAAATGTAACAAACGAGGGACCTTTGTTTACTTCGTCTATTAATGACAACTTTTGATTTTGCCTTCCAATACATTATCTAAAATGTCAACAATTACGAAAAAAGGTTTTGCCGGTGTAGCGTGAATATCCGACTCCATGAAATGTGGACTCATTGGTAGTATTGCGCACGCGTGAGTACGATACTATGCTATTTTTAGGATCGTTTCGGGAGAGTGACCTGTCACGTGCGAGGGATTAACCAATAATAGGGAAAAAGGGGTCCGATTTTCATAGGAGTCGGATTTTCATGTGACACCGGCAATTGCAGACCAAAATCCAACTGGGACGCCGACTCTCCCGAGATTTGAAAATGAGCGTGGCCTTCCATCGTGAACAGGCCAGCATCTAGCTCCAACAAAATAATTACCTGTGTCATTTCTTTCTTGTATCTTTCTTTTTAACTAGGCCTAAGAAGTCCCTAAGGCACTGTTGTCCGTGCATATTAAACATGGTTATACCATTAAGCTTGCCCGCAGGCCATGAAAACAAACACCTTACTCTGAAATTAATTTGAAGCCTAACGGCTAAAAGCGATGACAAAAAGGCCAACGGTGCATGGATATGCAGTCAGCCTGCTAAAAATACCAACCTGCGTCTTATAGGGATTTTTTCCTGGCGGGTGGGAGTACGTGACAAGCGTCCGATTTAGGTTTATTCAATGCCAAAAATCTTTGTAAGGTACCTTAAGAAACGCCCACGTGTACGTATAGCACACACGTACGTACAGTGCAAAGCCAATGAAGAGAACACTTCTTATCAGGTCATTTTCTATTCTGTAACATATACTCTTAGACCGCGATATAAGGCTTGGATACCTCAAGCAAGTTGAGTACTTTAAAGAGTGATTGATGGGTGCTTTGATTGGTCATTTCCTATGAACTTTACGAAGAAGAAAAAACGACATATCGGAAGGACCTTTTCTCTCCTTTTTGTAGTAAATTGTACCCGGACTTAATTAAGACTTGCTGAATAAAACACCGACGGTAGCTTTTCATTCCAAGCCCAAGAGATGGACCACACGAATGCTTAATTATTAACTATCAACGGAAATATTGAAGAATCTCGGTTTGTATTGTTTTAAATCGTGGACTTGAAAGTCGTCCGAAATGGCCCCTTTTTGGTAAAAAAAAAAAAGGAAGAAGATAATTTTTAAACTTGAAATTGATATATTTTGAACGATACAATTAAATCTAGACAAAGACGGAACCACAATATTTCCTTTTAAAAATGCAGATGACTCAGGCCTGTTCCATAAGCAAAGCGAACTTGCAAATATGACTTAAAATAGCGCAAGATAATGGTACCTCATTGTTTAGTGATAAAATCTTTATTTTTTTACTTTGTAGACTGGTACTCACCTCGTATTCTACATCTGTGTATATTTTACCGGGGTCGTCGGGGTACTCGACCGAATGACTGTGCACTTCCATGCTGATCATGTCCCACTGCCCGTCGCTGTTGAAAATGGTCTCGTCACCCCCTGTGGAACAAAAATTACCACACAAAAAAACGGAGGAAAGGAAAATTAAATTTCCATAGATTCGAGGCCAGTTGTTGACTGAGTTGGTCGCATGCAAAGCTTGGCCAGCCAAACCACAGACTACGCAGTGCATGATGGGAAACATGACAAAGAATAAAAAAGACCACTTGCTTTGCTAAATAGTTTCAGCAGTAGCAATTATTTTTGTATTTTAAGCTCGAAAAGCACTCATTTAAACGGCACCATTTTTTTTCTGACGCCAAAAAGGACTCAAACGCTTCCCACAATACACTAGGCAGTTAGCTTTGCCTGTCATGCGCATTACGGCTTTCACACTTTTGCTTTACTCCCTCTATTGGCAAAGTCACTGACAGCATTTCTTTTTCAAAGTCCAACACAGCAAAGCACCAAGATACTAACTATTTTGTGAATTAAGTAACGATTAAAAAGCATAACATTGGGCAAAAATGCATGTTTTTACAGGGTGCGGAGGCCTGCATGCCAGGGAGAAATGAAGCAAGTTCGGGCGAGTACCATTAGTCGACTAGTGGTTGACTTGTGAAGTAACTTACGCCTGCGCACTAATAGCAACTCGCGAATGGCTCTTGTGGTTGCAGACCAGTAAATAAACTGCCATAGACCCAAATGATAAATGCTCCCACTTCAGAAATCCAGGAAAAATACTCACAACCCTCCAAGGTGTTCGAGACACACATCAAATTAAAGATTATTTCATCATCTTTCAGTTTCTTTTCGATTTTTGGGGGTTAACTGATGACTTATAGGAAAAATTTCCATCCGACGGCTTCCACCCATATTGTTTACAAACCCTCAAGTTCATGGCCCACAGTAAGCTCAAATACCGAAGAATTTGAGGGCATGCAAATCGTGATTTGGCCGGCCGGCGTAGGCAATTTTGGATCGATTTACTGGCCCGCAACCTTGTCAACGATGGTCAAAACGTCACCACAGTCCTGGCGCCCTGTTGTATGAAGCGCATGACTATTGGTTACCAGCGATGCAACTGTACCCCGCATGGTCCGGTTCCATAAAGTCGACTAGACAAGTATAGTCCAACCATTCATCGTTCGAGTGAAGTAAGTCGAACTATGGTTAACAAACGTTCTCGCTCGAACTTGCCATGGTTACACCTTTGGTGACTTTCCGTTAGTTAAGGGGTCACAAGGAAGGAAGGGTCATTTTCGTGAAGTGGAATCTTAACACTCTTTATATAACATTTTGAATTGTCAACATTACATGCAATCGGGTTAATTTTGTCAATGTTGATCGTGCGAAATGAAAATATGACTGAGAATGAAAATGATTATAATAAGAACCCGGCTAAAAAAAAGAACTAATGTAATTCTGGCATTACAACCTGAGACTAGCCACTGAACCAGGATGAAATGACAATTACACAAAGTCCTACTCTTTCCTTAACACAGCTTTAATTTAAAAATTGAATTAATTAATAGCGGCGGATTTGTTCAGCTACTCCTAATCATAATTAAAATTCTATTATTCATCATCTTTTTTTTTTGCACAGCTCTGAAAAATCCAAGTCAGAGTGACAGCTTACACTTTCATTGAATTCAAACTCCATCGATCACGAGATCAATTTAATTAAAAGGTTCTCCCGGATATTTGATCTTTCCTGAGCAGCCTCGCTGGGAAGCCGATTTCCATTGACCCAACGAACTTTTCCTTGGAGTGTAGGCCTATTCGCTTCTTCTTTCAGCGTCCGGAAATGTTCCATTTCTTTCGAATTATTGTTCACAGGTTATATTGACAGTGTGAAGAATGAAACCGTAAGTGATATGAAAATCAATTTGTTGATGTTTACACACTTCTTCCCCTCAAGTTGAACACCAATAGAAACGATAAACCACCCACCTTGCACAGCAAACTACTCGACAAACGAACAAATAATTGTTGCGTGAGTTTGAGAAACAGGTGAATAAACCGTGGACATTCTCCACGCGAAGAGATGTTGTTGCAATACTGCTTACAAGTCTCTAGTTTGATATCCATGCATGGAGAAGGCACACGGTAAATATTAATCTTTCTACCACCGAGCCATCAATCAATTTATCTTTTGCCACAGTTCTGTTCTTGAGTGGGTTGGTCAGCAAAATAAGCAACCCGTTTTACCGATACATCACGCATGCAGCACCGCTTTGGGTCTGCCACACATTGCTACTACATGTAATTGCAAAGAGTAGCCTTCATGTTTTTGTATGATGCAAGCTGTAAGTGGCATGTTCCGACGCTTGCAAAATGCTGCCTCTCTTTCAGCCCTACGAGTGTGTGTGTTAGTATGCAAGCCACATGAGGGAAAATGCCAACGTGCAAATAAGGCCTAAATGCGGCCAAGGCAAGATGAAATTGTTTTCAGTGCTTGGAATATTAACAAACTAGCTTCCGGGTGCAGATGGTGCGGATTTGGCATGCATTGCGTGCAAGGAGGAGTCCTCACTAAGCAGTTATACCCGTGTCGTAGCAGTATCATTATCATTTTAATTAAGAGAAAGAAGGCGAAAGATTTATGCAGAGAATAAATTGAAGAAATGTGTTAATTATTCGGACTTCTCCTCTCCTTAGTACTTTTGAGTCTAGCCCCTTGACGTGTTCATTCTTGATAGATCCACAGGGTTTACGCTGTTTTTCAATTAAGATCCGTCCCACAGTCCAGCAGCTCAGCAGATCATTCCCCTGCAATTTCATGAAATAAACTGTCCAAAAAACACCGTCCGCGTACTTAACAATTCTTAGCCCTTATACAGGCCAAGTCTTCAGTTTGATCAATGTTGCCAGAGGAACATTAAACTATCTCCTGATATTTTCACATTTGGATCAAAATTTCGTTAAAGTGACAGTGTCCCACAAAAGTACACCTCTTCCAACCCCTTATATACAGAGCCACGATGATAAAAAGAACACTTATCTAATTATGAACTACAGTTGTACCTCCTAGACGTCTACAAGGAAAGAAGGTGCAGTACTACAACAGAGTACCATGCTTGGGCAAATTTGATATTCCTCTGACGAGTGTGTACGTGAATTAATGATGGCAGTTGTCAGAACGTTGCCGCTGGGTGCATTCATCATGGGAACGAGGTGGGACCAAACCTAAGGCAGAGACTGTCAAATTCGGTATTCTCTGTTTTCGAGGTCTTGTTTGTGAGTTTCGTTGCCCGTCGTCTTTAAATCGCAGGCAAGTTAACAGACCAAGATTACCTACGCCGACCAAATCATGACAGCACAGCTGTCGATTCTTAGTTCTTGTGGGAAATGAAGTGTTTAAGTCCCTCTAAGATTATTAGCTTGTATTTATGACAAAAATGGACCAAATTTCGATCTAATTTGCAAAGTACATGTAATGGTCTCGAAAAAAAAGTGAAGAGTTTTGAGCATTTTTTTTATGAGTTTTGAAAGTGACGGTTTTTAACATTGTTGTAAATTTATTTACTTTTTATTCTAAATTTATTCAATTCCATGCAACAAAAAATCCCAGGATTTGATGGTCGAAAACTGAATATATGGCCGGGCCCTAAATAACTACCTTTCGCACAATTCATTCCCCCCCCCCCCCAAAAAAAAATAATCGACCAAATTATATTGAAAATTATCGTAGAGTTCAGACGTTTTGACATTACATTTTCATATTGCTACCCAGGTACTTTTTGATTTTAAATCTGCCTTTTCTACAATAATATTTGTATTTTTGGTTTGTATTACTCCTGTTACCAAAGAGTATTACCATTTAATGGTTTCATTGATATTTCACAAGTGCAATATCGTATATTGAATTTGTATGGCAAAGCCCTTTAAATCTTTGTAATTTTACGTTTCCTTAAATAAAGTTGCGAAACGTGGGCCCGAGGGCATTTAAAGATTCAAGGCTGTGAAACCAACAATTGTGGTTTCCATTGTCACTTCGTGTGAAGGTAGACAACGTTATTGAGAGTGATCGGAATTGCATTTGTGACTTGTAAATAAAAAGAAGTCAAATACTTCGGTCAAATCATTTTGACTAGATGATACCTGTATTTACCACTAGACCGTTTCATTTAATACATGGAAACTGCTGCTGTCATTTTCAGATTTACGAGTGTGTTGGCAATAGTGGTGCGCATGAAAAAGTATGAACAATTATCTAATACTGTGGGGTTTTTTTTCTAAAAAGAAGAAGAACAAGAAAAAGATGGAAATCCCTCACGTCATCACCGATTTGCAGAGCACATCTTGTTCGTCTTGAATAGCATTACAATGTGTTTGGAGTAAAGTCAACAGTTCAAGCTTGGGTAGGCATTGAAAATAGGCATAAATAGTAAATCACTTCTTTAAAAAATTCTGGTACATTTTAATCCCATAAAAGCGCCCATTTCTTACGTTACCGATTCGGTGAATTTACAATTTCGCATGTTCGTAGTTGGGTCAGTGAACAACTGCAACTCGTCATAATTCGACAAAAGTGTAATGATTTTCGGCTAATTTTTGGATGTTCAAACCAAATCAATTTGATATTTCTTTAAAATGATCTCCATACCAGCCAGAATTACTTTGCATGATGCTTTGCACCTGTATTATCTATAATTATATTGAGTGGGAATTTCAATCACTCGTGGGCCGGAAATATCCTGTCTGAGTAACGGTTCCTGTACGTTTTGCCGCATCATCAATTTTGTTTACCCCGTTCACCCAAGCCCCTGATGATATATTCCGATAACGTATGACGACAGCTCTCCCTGCATGAACTTAAGGAACTGATAGGTCCTTGGGGAATGTTTAAGACGAAAGCATTTGATGTACGAGATCCGAAGATAAGATGTTAATCAAGACACGTTCATCATCGGGCATTGGCCGCAGCTCACGGCATCACCAGAGCCCTCGACGATAGCTCCTAAACATTTTTTTTCTGAAACCAAGTTATTCACATACCAAAACACGCATGCGCAAGACATATCACGTGACAAAGGTAACACTATCACTCGGTGGGTTTAATATTAGTTCTTCTTTTCAGTGAAATAAATGTTTTTCATGGTTCTTTCTGAATCATTGATAGTCTTGTGTGAGGGCGTGAACGGCTTGAGAAACATTCCATTGACAACGGACGCATGCGTATTATGGTCAGAACTGTACTTTTAGTTGCAGGGGGGAAATCACCTCCACCGAAAAGCAACTTCTTGCGAGATATTTCGCGATTACTGTTTCTTGTCTAAGGCAATTGTCTAAGGCGAATTTGAGAAAGGTAGAACTGGGATTATCTTAATAATTGCGTCTTGCACCACACGACGAGCAGGGTTTTTTTGTGTGAGAATCTAAACAGAGAAGCATTTCGGAATCGGAGAGGGAGTGTTTTCAAATAGTAACTAATCTAGCTCTTATCTTTATCGGCCAGAAGCTTGATATTTATTTAATGATACGAGGAGAAAAATGTAATTCTGATCAATGCAGCAGGACACTTTCTCTTTGTTTCTTTATTCAACAGAGGGCATTTTATACCTATTTTTAGGCGTTGAGAATTAGAACCCAGTTGTACATGGATGCTTTTTGGGGGAACAAACACAAGCTCAGTGTGCCAATTTAAACCACCATTGCGTTTTGGATAGAGCAACAGAAAATAGCGCACCTATGCATCATTTAAAGCAAATCCACAAAACAATAACTGTACATCTTGGCAAGGCTGAGCAAAAGGTTAGAGAGAACAATAGGGAAAACCCCAATACAATGATTTTTTGCAGGTACAAATATGGCAGGACAATAAAAAAAAAAAAAGCAGTCAGTACAAAAGATGCGGAATGGTGATGTAAAGCAGATGGGTGAATGCGGATGAATATTTTGGAAACGGGAGGAGAAAAAAAGGCGGGTTGGAACCAATTGAATTGGCATGGTTAAATTGCTACCAGGTTAGGGGGCATCTTACCGCCATCAGAAGCAGACGTGTTGACTTCTGTATCTGAATGAGCGAACCGATATAATAATACATATCACTGTTTTAATACGTCATGGAGAAAAATAGTCCCGTAAATTGTTAATTTCATGGTGAATACGACAATGCTTTTATAGTCATGTCGATCTTTTAATGACATCATAGTTTCACAATATTGTTTCTAAGTGTTTGATTTCCTTCAACGAACAGTAAAAATTGTTTGATCTATTTTATGGGGGAAAATGACAAATCCTTGAGGGACAATGTGACATTGGGAACAGGGTTAACAAAAAATTAGACTAAACGACTTCTCTCAATATAGAGGATCTGAGAACGACATCGAACAAAGGCTCTCGCAAGCAACAAACAAATGTCGGTGACGATGTTATTGTGAACACGTGCACAAAAATAAATAAAAATTCCACAAACAACTACGGAATGGAATAGCAGCCTGCCCATCTTTCTCTAAAAAATAAATTAAAAAATAACACGTTTTCGTGTGCAGCCTTCAAGCACCAATGTGCAGCGTGCAGACAAGGACTTGAGTTCATTACGCAACGAAATAGTGTGATAATTAAAACAATAGTAATAATTGCTTCATTTTCACACGACAAATTTTCAGAGAACCGACTATAGTGTCTTTGTAACTAAAATGCCTGCGATGAACCAATTTTCGATTTCGTTCCGACTATGTCGATTCAAAGAATCCTGCGACTTCAAAGTGAAGGTCCACAGAGAAGGTTATTTCAAGTACACTTAACCACTTGACACCGAAATGAATTAATATCTTTCATGATTTAGCTGCATGGGATCCACAAAAGTAAGATTGGACCTTGATATTGTCACGTGATGCTTTCAAAGGAAATGATAGGATGGGCCGATTGTTTCAATCGCCTTTCCATTGGACATCATATTGTGTTAGTGACAATTAAACTTCCCTCACCAAATAACATAAAATGGATGTTGAAATCAATTATCCACATCTAAAAAAGAAACTGTAAAGTTACGGGGGAAGAACAGCCCTTTTTGAAGAATGTAACAACTTCGCGTTGAATAATTCAGTTGCTTACTCTAAGAGGTTCAAAATTATAGGGCAAAATGAGACTACTTTTACCACCATGCACGCCATATAGACCTTATGCGATGAGGCGGGGTCAGAGGGCAGTGGGTTTGCATTGTGTGGATAGGCATGAGTAACCTCTCACGCATTCTCTGTTACTGGATTACAATAACAAAGAACAGCCTCTGAGACACCTGCAATGCATGAGGTCTATTTGGAAACTTATATACATTCAGTCATGACTACAAGTTGGTTTCTCATGCGATGAGATGACAGTCAATTAAAGAACTCATCCCCAAAATGGAAAGAGAACAAAAAGAGACAGTCAAGTTTGGTTTGCAGAAATCTACTCACCCGCCCCGACCACCTTGACTTCCGTGGCGTCGTGTTGCCAGAGACCAAACTTGAGTTTGCAGATTTGTTCGTCGAAGGGGAATGTGGTGATGTCGATCTTGCAGTAAGTGGTGAAGATCTGTGGGCATCCCCACATGATGGAACCATTGTTGTCGATCACTGCAATCTGACCCTTTAAGAAGTTGGTGTACTTGTCGGCACTGTCGACATAAAAATAGAAGCAAAGGGTTAAAAGTACTTGGGCGTGGTCTGGGTAAGCAAACCGAAAGGGGGTCTTAAGACACAAGTTTCTATATTATTATTCTTCCAAAGCCAGTTTTGCAATAAAATCTTTGCAAACTACCCCCTCAACGATGAAAATGAATCTGAGCAAAGGTTTCGAAGGACCTCTGCCGCCATTTGCCTAACATACGCTTTATACGTGGAGTTATAAACGATATACTTGGACATACAAAGTAAGCTTCATACCTCCCCTTCACTCGTCCCTTTAATCCAAGGAGCTGGTGGGGGTTGGTCGTTTCATAAAATCTTGTGAAGGTCACGATACGTCACTTGCTATTACATGTAGTCATCTTGTGCGACAGGGTCATCATGAACACAAGGAAGAGCTGACCCGCGTCAGCCGGTAAACAGTTTGTCCAATGAGAGCTGAGAACGCGTTGACCCCTGGTCTTTAGGTCAAAAAATGATCGTCCAATGACAGCTCAAATCGATTTGCCCGACGAGCGCCCGTGGGTAGGGCGACAGGGTCATGCGTACACGGACGAGAAAAACCCTCTCCTTGGAGAGCGCCATCTTTTGGCCCCGCGCATAGTTCAAAATAATAGCCGAGTGAAAGAAGATTGAATCGGGTTTTAGTGTTAAAAATGCAGTGCACCTCAAGTTTTAATGAAATTGTCATTTTTACTTTCTCTTTTCAGTTTAAGAAATTCAGTTTAAGTACTTTACAAATAATTAGGTCAAGTAGCGATTTCGACAATCTTTTCTTCCTATTTATTGTTTAAATCTTGTCTAATTTCTTTTTAAAGTTTAATGTGGAAACTGCATATTAAATTTAAAATGGTCATGGCACTGTCCATTTGCACTTGAAAATAATATAGGTTTATAAAAAAATCAAGGGTTTCAAAATATTACCCTATCAGCTTTGTTACAGTTTGTCTCTTTTTTTTTTTATTGTTTAGGGCCTTCAATTCCTAATGGAATCAATATTGAATCATGCCAAATTACTCATCAATTAAATGTGGACACTTAAAATTGAATTTAAAACTAGGATATCACCCATTATCATTTGATGTCTAAGTATCTTTCCACCCATGCAAACCTTCAAATCTCATTATCATTTTCCAAAGGTGAGTTGCTTGACGAGAAATAAGTATGCGTCGTTGTAAAACGCGGTCAGCTAACCAATTTGAAAAGGTGTCTTAATAACGCGCCGTCGATTCTGGGCCAGCCTTCTGTCGATTTACAGCTGTTTTTGCAAGACTTTTTACTCGGTTCTTTGAACGATTTCTCGTCGGCGACCTCTCTTTTCGGCGTATCGGTTTCAATAACTTGAAGATCTCGCCCGCCAATCCCGCTGCCACTTGGCCAGGTTCGCGCGCCAATTATCATAACCACGAGTGGCAATTTAGGCCTAGGATTTCACCTGCGGGCCCGGAATGAAACCACCTACCCCAGGTGCAAGTTGGACAACTATATCCTTTCAATAACACGCCTGCAGTCTTCCCTTGACAAATACGAAAGGGCGTGAGCGAGGCTACTGAAAGAAAGAAAAATCCCCTATGATCCAGTACGCTTTGAGACACCGCAGTCACGAAGAATAAATGGGGTTTAGGGAATGTTCATCAACTCTACGGGATGTGGCACAGGAAATTTAGCTAAACTGGTTGACAAGAATTAGTCAGACAAGCCGAAGACGTAGTCAATCACTGGTCATGTTCCCTGACGGCTTCATGAATATCACTGCAGGGAGATGAACGGACGTCAGATCTACCAGCCTAAGGTAATTTTGGCCAAGATCCTGAATTCGGTTCCGTAGTTTTGTCACGTATAGTGTCACTTAAATTAAGTATATTTTCCAATCATTAGCCCAACTTGTGAAATAACTGCTCATCTCCGGTACCATATGCAAATGCAATCGTGATAACTATCTTATAGTCTAACCAAAATATACATTTCAGTATACGGTCATTTTCCAGGGTAAAATTTAGAATGCCAGACCAGTGATTATCATTTCTTTCTCTTCATTTCTGCTTGTTAAAGGGAATATACAACATTTGCAAACATCGAAAAATAAAGCTACCAAGTTTTTGCGAAATACCTTAATAGGATGTTGGTAAATGACAGTCTAAAGCATCCTGTAAAATTATGGCACCTGGTATACTGTCATTTTCAAGAAAAGTGTTATTTTTGTATCAATTTCCAACGCTGATCGGCCGATCAGCGTTGGAAACAACTGGCTTTTTTTTCAAATACTGGCCCCAATTTACCATTGCACTTGTTTGCAATCGATTACAAACCGATGAACGGGTACGAGCCAGCTAGACTGGTTCCCTGACCTTACAATTCCCCAATGTATGTAAACTGCTCTGTTTCTTCTTATATGGAGTCAGGGAACCAGACTACAGGAAAATGATCGTTTTTCTTGGTTTTTATAGCATTTTCGAACCCAAAACCTCCAAAAATTCAGTGTAGCTATATTTGCTTTATATTTCCAAACCCCCAATTCCATCCATTTCTGAAAATTACAGCAAAAGCAAATGATGTATATTCCCTTTAATGGAAAGCACGAAATGCATATCCGTCAGGATTCGAACCAGGGTGCCCAGTGCTAGGTGAGATTAGCTTCCATGCTAAAAGACTTCCTAAGAACAGACTTCCCTTGAATAGCCATTATGAATCAATTGAAACGAATTTTGGGTCACTCCGTGACCAGCTTTATGAGCCTGCCTCGTTCTCACACCCAAGGTACATCCATGTGTGATAACAGCCATTTTGTTTATCTCCCATGGGGAAGCACACCTTTGGCATTGATATACCGTGATGTATGTTACAGGACACCGTAAATATAACCACTTCGTTGTGGAAGCTATTGTTAAAACAAAAACCCAACTGCTACATTGATATATGAATCACAAGTGCACTGCGTTCCCTAGGGAGAGTGTGCTTCGATGCTGGCACAGTGCGCTGACACTAATTAATAACTCTACTTGATAACTCTCAGGACTAACTCTAAGAATAGTCAGCTAGTGTGGTGATGATCTAAACATAACTTGAACATCAGTGAACAACATTTACAGATTCAGCAGTTTTAATTTTATTTTTCAAAAAGAACAAACATAAAATAATGAAGGGAAAGCCAATTTTAGCTTTGGATGGGATTTGTGAACATTTGTATCCAGAGGTTTTTAGTCTAATTGTGAGGCGGATTGGTGAACCATACTATGCAATTTAATAATGTTAAATTCAAGACTCGATCTGCTTCAATATTCATAATGAAAGTACGTTCTTGAAAAGAAATAGTATTTAGCAAGGATTGATAAAAGGTAAGGACGTCAACCCTAAAATAAATAAAGCCAACACTGAATTGTTTTATTGCAATTGAATGCTAAAATCTCAAATTGGCGTAATCTGCAGCCAACGCCCACATAAGTTTAAAACCAATCGCAAAACAACCTTGTTTAAGTTTTAACTCTTAATCCAATTGAATTTCAAGCTGAATTTAGTCCGAAATCGGCTTGTCCGATTAATAACGTTTTGTCAAAGCCGGGTCCAATTTAATTGCACATTTCGCGCATGCTAATCTCATTATACAACATCACTGAAAACAATTTAGAAAGTAATTTGGATCTGGACTGACTTTGAATGACCGTTAATTGGAATTATCTATCATTTGACACATCTGTTTCCCAGAATTTTTTTTCGAAATACCAGGATGCCAGTTAGGATAATTTCACTGTATGATTTACCAGTGCGGCCCGTTCTTAATTGGCCACAAGTATTATTATAAGTGTCGCCATGTGGAGGGTAGATTTTCAAGGTATTTGCAAGTAACCCCTCGGGGACTCCATCGTCATCTCCGGAAGATTCCAAGGAGCACAACCTTGAGACCAGGGACCTAATTAAGGCGATGAGGCATCCGAAATTCCAAGATCAACATGAAACAACATCAACAGTCGCGAAACATCTTGGGCTCTTGCTCTGTCTTTCCATATACAATCTGGGTTACGGTAGCATAATTACATGTGGCATGTCAATGCGCAGACGATTGGCAGTCACGCAATAGTATATGATGGACAAAAATGAAGGGGGATTTGAGTTCTGTACGCTTCATTAATCTGAGACTCCCTGAAGAATTCCAAAAGGTCTCGTTGATTGGAAATTCAATTCCTATTCGCTGTTGTTGTTTTTACATTCGAACCAACGTGTGTAAAATACCATGTCGCTTTGATTTATTTTAATCAATCTGCATATAAAGTGTTCTAATTACTGGCAGTCAATAGTGAATTTGGCATCATTAACGCATTCTAATTTCATCGTCTACTGGTGGGTCCCAATCTATTTTAATTAATCTATTAAATCCACGCAATAAATAATAAGATGATGAGACACAGTCCTTCCTAAATTAATCGTAAAGATATGGCTCAGTATACTGTGATATTCTGTAACGATTTGAACATCTCTACCCCACAATTAAAAGTAGATCAAAAATCTAAACTGAAATTTCACCCTAGCCTATCATACACTGACGACAGACGATGCACGTGGAGAAAAAGTCTATATCAGATTGAAAGAGTTTGAAAAAGGAGGTACTCCATCTATTGATGCAAAAGATGCTTAAAATGCTCGGCATGACGTCACGTTACATGGTCTATACTGTCATGCCTAGCAAACTATGGTTGACCTTCATTGCCAGAAAATAAAAGAAATAATTCCCGAAGTGTACTGCATCATGTGATGAAGCTATCAAACAGTTAGATTAATCAAATTTAAACACACAACATAACATAATAAATTGGTTTACTGATCTGGAGACCACAATCAGTCACCATTTTTAAGGTGGCAGCACGGTCGCGAACTCAATGCTCTTTCTTCACTGGTAAGTGTATGCGTTATACGCGCGCGTATTGGCAGACGAACACGCATATAAATGACAAACATGAATGTTTATTGCTATACATACATCGTTATCTAGACCTTAAAGATATAGTCCATCATTTGTAATTTGTGCATTTTTTTCGTTTGAAGCAACAAAAGTGTTCAAAATCTAATGAAAGATGCTGAACAACTAACCTGATGAAGTTTCAGCTCAGCTTCAGCTGTATATTCCGAGAAAAACAGCATTCTAGGATCTCAATTTCAAATCAAAAGTTGCTGAATCATGTTTTGAATTGTTTTGAATTGCAGCTATACGCGATGTCGCGCACTGATCCGACGAATTATAGCAACCGCGCGCGCCTGTGCGTCGTGCCAATGTTTGCGTGCGCTGCGCTGAATAACAAAACGAACTACTAATTTAAATTTTCCTAGACGCACCGTTGGAAAGGCCTTCTTTCGTTGATTACTTCAACATGATAGCTTGCCAGAAAGATTAATTTCACAGGGAGTTTAGTCCACTTACTATCTTTCAACCAAGTATGTTTTTCAACAATAATACGCCAGTTACTTTTTCGGATGGCTGCAAATGATGGACTATAGCTTTAAGAGTAGGATATCGATGTTCTTAGATGTCCTGTACATGATATCGACGTTGGTGGTACCAGCGAACATAAACACTCAGCTGAGATGAGACAAACAAGATATTTAATCTGTGCGCAGTTCCTTGTTTTCTTTCAATCATCTGTCACTGACAGAAACATAATCTGAGAAGAATTATAGTCCATAAAATTGCTTCGATTGGCTTCATCCATGCCCCCATCGCTGAAAGCTTATATCCGCTTCTTAACTCAAGTTGGACAAGTTATTTTGTCAATGGTTTCACCCCCTCACCGCCAGCTTTCTCAATTTTTATCAGATACCGCCGGAAACAGTCAGAAACACCCGTCCGATGTAATTACAAAATAACATCACCCCGTCTTGTGTTGACATAGCGTATGGCATGTTTGGCAACGGACCCGACATATGATCTTGGGCAAACAACATACGGTTTGCAAGATGCAGCTTGAGTGCTGTACACATTCTCCGATCGAGTCGACAGCAAAGAGAACTTCCTTGGAGAAGACACTTGAGATTCCATTTGACGGACAGGGCTTGATACTGGGGGTAGTCACAGCCCAGGTTCAACCCTTTTGCAATTTCACGGGGGGGATACTATCCAAAGGAACGCACATTCATTGTACGGCTCATGAAACCCATCTACAACCGCATTCTTTTTAAAAGGTAATTTTCCTCATGATTGCAATCCTAATTTCATTCGTGTGTGTCTTTCTTGTAATTCCTTTTAAAACAGCGCACCAACATTGAAGTGCATTGCTATTTCAAATGACATCAATGTCACATGTGTCATCACGGTCATCATCGTCGTCATTCTGGTGTCATCATTGTCATCCGTGTCACGTCATCATTTAATTGCTTCATCACGTTTGTCATTGTAATCCATAATCGTCAATGTCGTCATCTATATTGTCATGATTTCATCATAGTTTTCACTGTCATCACCATTATTTTTGTGATCATTGTCTCCCCGTACTCGTCATTATCTCTCATCACGCTTGCCACCGATGTTGTCGTCACAACTGTAACCGCTTCATCGCTAATAATAAACAACTACTAAAGAAGTGATTACTTGTTGTATAGCGTGACGTCGGGCATCCAGATATTTTCAGACGGGACTTTGATGTTCTTGACATGATTGTAATCCTCTGGGTCCCACCGTAGGTATTCGTCTTCCCACAACTGTGGAGATGCAAAAAGACAAACGCATGGATTGTAAATAATTATAAACATTCTTTTTCATTTTCGCTGAAAATTAAATAGAAAAGTTATGGATGCTGTTGATGTGTTCATGTTTTCCCGGCATATACCATAGCATGGAGCCATGGTATGGACGCTATTTTCATTTGTTTAATTATAATAATAATAATAATAATAGCTTTATTTACAGATGGTAGCCATGTCACCTGACAGATGATTTTCAATGGGCCATCTATCAATTAAAACGTAATTAAAATTACATGACTTAATTAAGACTATACATACATACATACAAAACACAGATCAATTCACAATGATAGTGCCACTAGAAAAATCAAAACTGTAAAAATACATTAAAAGTTCACATCCAATACAATAGGTAAAATAGAGATATTTAAAAACATGTGGTAGAGGAGAACCATGAGAATGCGACACTACCCCCCCCCCCCCCCACATCCACCCTTCTGTCAATAGACATACATACATGAAAATAGACATACATGTACATTAATATAGCGGTGTGTCCATCTAATAATTACAGTCAATGGGGAAAGAATCACACTTATACAGATTTTGTTTTAAACAGTGAAGTAGCCTCTGCTTAAATGTTTCGACATTCGTAACAGTCTTTAGTTCCCCACTCAGCTTGTTCCAAATGGTACCACCCCTGTACCTGAATGATCTCTGACCAGTAGTTGACACATATCTAGGTGTATAAAAGGTGTTGGGTTGATTGCTTCTTGTATTATGAGAGTGAACTGAATTAACCGGTGTGAACATGTCCTTTAGATAAGATGGAGCATTACCATGGACAATGTTGAACATTTGCAAAGTTTCAAAATAGTTAATTGTGTTTACTTCATTAGTGAAATTTACAAGATTGTTTTTAAATTTTCTCTTTTTAAGCTAACCGTTGCTTGATTCGGTTTTGAGATGCAAATCCATCAAATAGGCCTACATTGGAAAATCAAGAAAGTTGTTTGTCTGGCTTTTGAGGTAATGGATGTGTTGAAAACGGCAGAAACACCAATGATAAATGAGTGAAAGTCAGATGTGATAAATGGTTTTGCTAATGTGTTTGAGGCTTCGGATGTTTGAGGAGGAGTAGTGCCTGCGATCAATTACTTTTAAGTGGATCATTTGCCATGCATCAACACAATTCATCTCGTGTTGAAATTGTTTTATGGTACAGATCTCTACAGACCAAAAAGGCCAGTATTTGCAAAAAAATTCTGCAATGGTTTCTGGTCGATGGTTTCTGATTTTCCAAACCCCTAGCCTGCTTATAGAGGAGAATATGAAAGGACGAGCATGTGATCCTTTGCTTTGTGCACAAAGTTACTAAGGCCAAAAAAAAAAAGGTTTCCGGTTTCTGGTATGCGCGCGCGTCGCCGTAGCCATGCGCGTCGGCAAAATGAAAAAGTTTTTTTTTTTCAATGAAAGATGATGTCTCAAAACCGCCAAACTCACTGGTTTGACTGGAATCCTACTGCTGCACAATTTTAACGTGTTTTTAGATTGGGTTATGGTCGAGAATAAGCTTTATGTTGCCTCTCTGGACTCCCATATATTTGCACTAAGTTTAGTCGGGCACCATTTGCAGTCATCAGCCGACATTTGAAGCAAAAAAAATCAGGTAAAAAAAAAAAGCCGCGTCGCCGCACCACTTTTTGGGCAAGCTCCATACCAGAAACCGGAGACTTTATTTTTTGGCCTTTAAAGCAAGAGAAGAGGTATAGCATTGACATGGGATCATTGGATAACTGTTATACCAAATGTGGACATCATTTCTCTGCATGTAATTTCAGTGTTTAATTATGTATTACTGATGATTTAGACAAGCTTAGCAGAGATCAGAATGTTAACGACGTTTGACATACCATATGTTGATCGTTAATGATGTCTGAACGAAATATTTTTCATGACCTAGTTTCGTGTGTTCAGTGGAAAAACAAACATGAAAAAACTTGACGTGTGCGCATGCGCTACAAGCAGCCAGTCATTGACCTATATTATTTTTAGAACCAATTACGCCATTCGTTACCGTGCTTGCCTAGAGTAGCCAGGTAGGTTATTTGAGGGTTAAAGCCCGAAGTATTATGCAGCGATTCCGCCTGCGGTACTTAAACGATGCCTTGAGAGTGAGTTCAATTTGGCTTTTGAAAAAAAAAATGCCAATTTTTTTTTTCCAGCGGTGCTGTACCTTCTTTGCATTCGACGAATAGAAACCGCCACAGGTACTCATAGCGCCCGACAGACACTGTTGAAACAGCTGCCGATTATTGGTGACACGCAAGCGACCGGGATCATCCAACGGCTGTTTACTGAGCCATCGATTGCGGGACAAGTATGATCCATATGTCGAAATCAATTTATTTACATTGTATCCAAACAAAAGTGAAAACGGCGTGTTGCATCGCCGGCCTCCAGGCCAAATTATTAGCGCGTCGTGAAGATTCAGGTTGATTCTGGAATTCATAATCTCTTGATGTATCTTAGAGATGAACCTTACAAACCGTACAATATAATGACCTATCCAGTCTCATACAGACGGCTTATTAATTAATACACAACGGCGCATTTGGCTTCTTTTTTATTTGCAATGAGTACTTCTCCTCCTAACACATGCAGCTGAGTTGTTCAAACAGTCCCGGCTGATTTCCCTGCAGAATTCAGTGAATTTGGAGCAAAGTTATGGGACTTGTCGTCGGATTTGAAAACTTCGAGTCATTGCCCTCCCTGTACCGTTTCATCCACGTCATCCTAGCAAATTCGAGTTACGTTTTATCGAAAATACCAAGATATATATATTTATTTTTTTGGTTGGTTTTTCGTAATGGTTTCTCGTAATGTCCTTGGGCAATATGGTTGCTTCGCTCCGCTTAGTAAATGACATGATTGGTTCTCAGGTTTGCAACACCGAGTTGTCAGACATTTCTACGTTGATATTTAGGGGGAAATACATGACCTGTAAAACCAGATCACTCGCGGAATGTTCGTATTTGAGTATTGGATCTTTCGTATAATCCAGTTTTTACGGTCGAGTGATATTGGTATAAATGCACTTTTCACTTCGTGTTATATTTCCTCGCGACATTGCAACAAATTTGCTTTTGCTGTGATTTTCAGAAATGGATTGAATTGGGGGTAAGTATTGCATAGCAAATAGGCCTAATGTTACAACTGAGATGTTTAAAGTTTTGTGTTCACAGATGCTGGGCAAACAAAGAAAAAACTGCCGTCCTTGTAGTCTGGTTCCCTGACCCCACTTTGACGAAACTTCGCAACTTATAGACGTCGGGGAATTGTCAGGTCAGGGAACCAGACTAGCCGGCTTGCACCCGTTCACGTATGTGTAACCGATTGAAAACAAAATGTGGAATAACTTAATTTGGTAAATTGGGGGCAGTATTTGAAAAAAAAATGTTTCTTTCAAACGATTGTCGGCCGACAATAGATGGGAAAAAATCAACCTTTTTTTTTTAAATGACAGCACACCAGGTGCCATGATTTTACAGTTTTAGTTAGAGCTAGGGACAGATTTTTATTTACAATTTTTTACTCAGTTTAAGGGCAAAAAAAGTGCAAAGAGCGAGTGAGGTGCAACAAGGTTTCATTGATTAAACAAACATAACAGCTCATCAGAAACATCCACTTCAGATCCCGAGCTTGATGATTACGACGACACATAAGATGATTACGACGACACACATGATGAGACAGAGCCATCGGAAAATACATGTATATTCAGACTCTGCAACAAGCGACATTGATTTCTAATGGATTTTTTTTTGCTGGTGTCTCCCTTTCCTATAGTTTGAAAATCAATTATTCAATGAGACTTGTTACAAAGTGGTCATTAAATGAGCTTCAGGTCGAGGCATGACTGTCTCACTCACTATTTATTTACAGTCAAGTAAGGTTTTTCATGCTGATTTGGTAGTTTTGTTCTTTGATGTTTGAAAATGCTGTTTATTACCTTTAAGATTCAATCCCTTATAAATTACAAGCCGGTTTTTTTTTCTTGAGGATGTGACGTCACAAATTAATACTTACCAATGTAACCCAGGCATTTATCTTGAGTGTCTGTTTTCTCTCATCCTGGAACCAAAAAAAGACAACGAAACAAGTATTTAGGTTTACAGCAAACATATTGCTGTGTTGGTGAATAAGGGCCGACGTGGCGTATTGAACCACGTCCCTTGGTGTCTCCTTCATCCAAGGGTCTCGTCCAAAGACGACGCCCGTTGGGACCAGCGTATTCTGTATCCATCTGAACTGATTAAGGCCAATCACAAATTCATCGTAGGGATTTAAACACAGACAGTTTGACTCAAATTCCAAATTCAGGTTAGGCTGGCTGAAACTGCTCGACTCACCATTGATATGCCAAGGTTAATAAGTGAATCAGGGTCATTACGTTATTGATAGATCGGACGTGCTCCCGCCGTGCCACTAACCCCCTAATTATTCGCTTGTCAGGATTGATTGTTTATTTTTGGACAAATCGACGATGCAAGTGTGGTTCATCTTCCTTGTCTGACATTTATTTATATTCCTGAGATAAATGAACATTGGCAATATCTGGTCCTCAAATCAGTGAGTTGTTTTTAAACAGAGAGTGACATGCTGACACGGGGTCTAATGATTTGAATGTTGCATGCTGTTTTACTGTTAGACTTCAACTATAATCTTTGAGGCGGAGGAAGTATTAAGAGAAATCATCAATAATAACCGACATGTTTGACATCCAATTCATTTGGAGTACACTATGGCAAATGGTCGTCTTATTAAGGAAGGTATAACAATCAATTGGTGAAAATGTAAAGAGGTATTGAAAAGGCAGGTGTCATATTGTTAAATCTTCACCAACTCTCTCTATTTTTTTTCTAGAAAACTAAAAACTCATTTTCAATTCCATACTAAAGCAATGTAATAGGGATACAAGCGACCTTGATTATTGTCTTACACCTGGGTCTGTGCTCTGTCGTTTCTTGTTTGTCTGTCACTTGTCTGTCCATAGGCTGAGGAATAAAAGCTAATGTTTCACCCCGGAACTAGTTATTGCCATTTGTATAGTTAATGTTCACTATTATATCAAATATTAATATACTTATATGTACATGTAATGTCCATTTGATTTTGTAACATTATGTATCATCCTTATATGGCAGCATTAAATGTATTCCATTCAAAAAAATTAAATGCTTAGGAAACATTCCATTAAACTTCAAGAACAATCTCGAAGTCATCGCGAATATTAATTGTTTTCTATAGGAAGAAACAATAAATGCCGGCTGCGCATACTACATGTACATGAACTCAATTTATACGCACAATCTGATGGCTCGGGTAAGCACATTTAAGCTATGATATCCATTAATTCGCTATTGAGGAAAGTTCTAATCAATATTCACCTGGCCTTTCAGGATGTTTTCAAAATATTTTTTATCAAAAACACAAACATAATATAAAACGATCGACTAAATAGACTCTTGCGATTTAAGATGTTTGGCCTTAGCAACGGAGGTGTTGTGTTTACCTACAAGGGTCTCCAGTAGTGGTCATCTTGAAGTGTCAGTCAAAGTGTCATCTTCAATCAACAAACCTATGGTCGATGCCCTGCACTCGGATAACTGACTTTGTGCCTTGCTGTGGGGTATTTTCTTTCTCTTCTTTGCCTGCGGGTTGCTATCGAATAGCGTCTGGAGCATTTCCCGAAATCGATAATGTAAAATAGAATTCACCCAAGCCGCGTATTAGTCGCTCTGAATTCAAGAAGCAATAACCTTTTAATTATCCACGTAAAACGGATAATTTTTTTTTGCAGCGTTTTACACATCCAAAGGATGCACTTCTTAAATGTATTTTGATTTTCTCTCCTTTATGTGGCAAATCTTGGAAATAACGGCTTTACCATTTTTTTCCCGATGAGGGATGAAGCATCAGTAATGTAGAATGAACATAAATGCTGTTGTAAAGCATGATAAAAAAGCAAATAAAATGATATGTTGATTTTTGTGTGTATATTTGTTATCTCTTTTTAGTCTTGTCACTGTTCCGAATCGTTTGTTATACCTATATTGTTTCTCAGGGACTAGACCCTGCATACAAAATTAATAGAAAAAACTCTTTGAGTCCTCCGACATATTCATGACTAGATAGGCAGGAGAACCACGCGATGAGCATTAAACCAAAGCAGGCAGTCCGTTCCACACTTCAATTCGATAAATTTGTCGTCAGGAGAAAGAAAACTAATCTAGCGTGCGGAACGAGAATCAGAGAAGAAAAACGGCCCATCAACAGATTTCTCGGCTCAGCTGCAATAAAAACGAGGAATATTTATATTTGTACAAAGATGAAGGATGATTGTCTCTCAGAGGATAATGCAAGCCATGTTCTTTCGCCTACGGCTGATCAGCAGATGTTTAGAAGCGCGGAAAATTTAATCTCCGGCTTTGGGGACTAACGTCCCCTCCCTAGGGGGATTCTATCTAGCGTGTTTAGCGCCTGATGTGCGAGGGACACTCGCTGATGACACGGACCTGATTGATCTAGACCAACGCAAATCACCTGTTTTTTCGCACACAAACACCAACCTCTGCTTAATTATTTTTTCTAGAAAATCATCAAAATTCAAGTCAATTTTTTTAAATGTATTGATTGTGGAGTTCTAATTTCAGGGGAAATGTTTCATTGTGAATTTCTTTGTTCAATTTTGACATTTTGTTTTCAAGAGCCCCGTTGTGCGGGACGTGCATGAACAGCAAATGAGCCTATTTATGCCTTGAAAGTAAAGAGTGGTACGTACGGAGTTACCCAAAAAAACACCTCGGTTTAGAGATGAGAAGATAGATAAAAAAAAAAAAATATTTATTTGCATAACGAATTTCTGTTATCCTTGAATGAAGCCGGTGGCTTTTATAAAGGTCAAAATTGATATTAATGGGTCTGGATGGAGTCAATTTTTCATATCTTCCAAATCATTTCGAGATTTAGCTTGGAGGATGAAATCCATCATTCTTTTAAGTTTAGTAGTTGATATCAGCGACATCATCTTGGGGGAGGTCTGTAGATAAGGAAGTATCTACTAAAAGCCTGACTTTTGTTCCAGTGGCGTTTCTTGTCTCTCGCTCTCTCGATTTTTTTATTTTTAAATTTCAGGGTTTTTTTTATTGATTCCTTTTTTCTGTACTATGCTGATTTTGCGTTTTAAATCTTAATATTTGCGTTGGTATGTATTTTAAAATACTGAATTTCTCCTGATGACTTTCCTGATGACGGGCAGAGCATACTGCCCGAAACGTTGAGTTCCCCCGGCCCCCGGTTCTTTTCAGAACCCCACGAACTCATAAAGAGATTTGTCACATGGGGGCTACAGTAAGTCTTTATCTTAATGATTATCTGTAATGGTTTTTTATCAAAAGTTTCATGTCATATCAGTCTTTTCTGATTTTGTTTGGTTGGTGTTGTGATGTGGTTTTACTCGGCCATTATTTATGAAGGGTAACTTGTTTCAATTTCGTAAATTTTATTCAATGTTTGAAATTCAGAGACCTAAAGAAAGTTACACCAATACGATTGAGCTCAACCATAACATTCCAGTTCAAACAATCGCAAGCAATGTCAGAATGATCACACAGCAATTTGGTAGATAAACCGGCTCGAGGCATAAATATATTCCTAGATTGCTTTTAATGGGTCGTCGACAACCAAAAGTTGTAAACTGATATCGTTGGTACGTGTTTAAAAATCGGTCTTAGCGGGTACAGGACGGAGGAGCGGGCCGTGCTTAGGAAGAGAAAGACGGCAGACATGTGCGGTAGCCCCGGGGCCCTCGTGAATGTCCGTCAAAAAACGTCCCTACTCCACGGAGTGGGGGGAACAGAGACCATCCAAGAAAGACGACGCGATGGAAATGTCAACGGCAATTAAATATGGGTTACATTATGGCATTTAAAAAGCTATTCTGGGGAAATTGCCGTAAAACGTGGAGGGTCGTGTTACGGTGTTGACTAAACTGGACGGTAGTCGGATTTCTTTCGTCGATTTTTTTGCGCTGTCGCTTCTCGACTTGTGGAGCCATGGTATTTCCATAATGAGTACGTTTAAAGGTTAATTTATCAGATTCAATTTGTATTTTTTTCATGTAGTTATTGTGATCAATATATCCCGTTTGGTAAGCATGTTTAGCTCACAAAAAAAACTAGCGTAAAACAATAAAACAAACACAAAAACTGAATGTGTGGAAATTATTAACCGTCAGCAAACCTGGGTTTTGATGTCGATGATAATAGCGAAAATGAAAGGACTTTGTAAAAAAGATATCTACGACAGTTTCCAGAAATGCGGATTGCACCTGCACAACTTGACGATAGTAAAGACCTGGTTAATTAATAATGAGGTTCAAGCTGACGAATTGTTGGTTTTTTGGTCCCAAAGAGACCATAGAAGCAATGGTGACTGAAACCAGCGAATATGAAAGATATTTTTTATCTAATCAACAGGCAACGAGAGGAATCAATATTAAAAATTACAATAAAATAACTGCCCTTATTCATTATAGATTTTGATTTTAAATGGCTATTTTTCTTCCAATGTAACATAAAAGTTTAAAACTCGTTTAAATAAGAATGGTTAAGATAACCGACAGTGCACCATTAAAAAGCAAAAACAAAAATAGTCAAAGGATATTTTTGACGAAATTTACCTACCACGATCGGCCAGAGGCCACTCAAGATGGTGGCTGCAAAGAACGCAAAAAATAGAGTAAGACTGATTTTTTTTTTGTCTTGATCCGAGATAAATTCGCTCTAATTTGCAATTTAGTGGAAGGAATGTTTTTTCATGACTTTTAGGGGTGGTCCACGTTTGAGGGGTAAAAATACGCAAAATTCATCGGTTAACCACCAATCGGTAACTGAATTAAGAGGTTTGCCGCTTCAAACAGACGGCGCATGCGTTTCCTTCAGCAGACCGCCATGTTTGCACCTGCTCAGCATCCAGACGGAGCAGTTATTAATAAACACCAAGTCCTCTTTACCCATGCGACTAGAACTCTCAACCTCCCACCCCGAACTCAATCACTTCAACGCGGCCGGGTGAAGTCCGGATTAAGGTGATAATCCTCACATAAATCCCCTTGGCCTAGAATCATGGGACATCAATTCACCTCCCCAACGAGGAAACGGGGCGAATGACAGTATGAATGCTTGGAAAGGATTTTTTTTCAAGACTTAACAACAATAACTCTGTAGTTCTGGGACAGGTCAAATTTATCTTATTTGTCGTCTTCAAATGTCAGTCAAATTCAGGGTATTTATCCTACAGAGCGCAATACGTTGTTAATGTCCCAAGCAGGTGCTCGTTTTTGCTGGGCCTTAAAAGGGCAGGTTTCATAGACCCAGGGTTCGGATATGTGTGTCGATGAACTGCTCATTTTACCACACTCTAAAAAAAACCCGGGTCAAATTTGACCTGGAATCTGGGTCATATTTTTCGGGTCACAATGACCCGGAAAATGACCCACAGAGGTGTCATTTTGACCCGGACAAGTGTCATTATGACACTAGTGTTAGATCAAATATGACCCGAATTCCGGGTCGAATCTGACCCAAGACCTTTTAGAGTGCATCCACCCTTATTGTACGCGCTATACACTTCGATAACATGGTGTCAAGGGACCTTTATCGTGCCGTTGCTCAGCACAGAACTGAGCTATTAACAACAGAAGAGACTTGCTTACCCATATAACCAGCTAAAATGCAATGTAATGCATCTGGCCGTTGACTGGTACTCCACTTAGCATATAATTTTGCTAAGCAAAACGTTTAACAGGTTTGGTCAATAATTGTCCAAAATTATTTTTTATTCGACTCATTTATTTGATTTGTATATTTCAGGTCAATTCATTCAGTGAGCATTTAGCAGCAGGTACCATTTCTCAAATTCGTTAAATGGTGAGATATACAACAAGAGTACTTCCTTGTTGTTGAATTACCCATTGTGCCAAATTTAAATTGATTAATATTTGTGTTAACAAAAAGAATCGATCTATACAGAGTTACGTGTTGGGCTGACACATCACCTGAAGTGTGTACTATAAGCAACACTGCTATGTCCTCAGTCACTTGATATAATGTCCATAAATAAATTGGTACATGACACTGACCCCAGGAAGAAACTCATCCCGTTAGTGCGTGAAAACAGGTGGCCAACCTATGCGCGTTCTGTATTCCGGGGTATCGTGTAATCTTCCCGCCATCATCACATTAAAACAGACTGGTAACTTTTCACACCCTGGACGGATCACTGGTTAAACTTGATTTCTAGCAACGCTTCTATTTGCAGATATTGTCTGGCACCTCGACTCCACTCAACCAAAACGCACTCTCGCCTTAAGCCCTCAGTGAGAAAATCAATTTGTCAGTGTATGTGGTTTTCTGACCTTGGGTGGGATGGAGTTTATAGTGCCAACAAACTAGTGACCGATCATAATAAGGTTTAGATGATAAACACCAAAAGTCGTTAATTTCCTGCGCTCATCCGCCGACAGCTGTCGCACATTTTAAGCACTGTAGGTGACATCGACATTTGGATTTCAGACAGAAACAAAAACCAACACTGCGTATCAAACGAAACAATCAATGCCGATGTCTGGTTGTAATTAATTTGAGCGGGATTTGCAAGCTCGCGTGCCTGTATCACTCGTCATTATTGTCATAACACAACACTGTGGGTGACATTTTACACATCTCAATTACCAAAGAATTCTGCCTTCTGCAATCTGTCGACTGCTTGGTATGTCTGGGCAATTAGTTCAGGGCGAAAAAGAAATCAAACTTTCAGGCGAAGCGCAGCTGTGCTACACCTAATTCCCTTGGCTTTAAGTTGTCTCGTTTTGCTACTTTCAGCGCCAATAACCAGCTCACATCAGGCCTTCTCTGTTATCATTCCATGATATTAAAATGCTGCCCATGGAAAATAAAGTAAATGTCCATCCGGGGAAAAAAAATGAAAGAATCGTAAGAATAACAAAGCGTTTTTAAAGCTCATTTTGAAAAAGCCTTCGAAAGAAAGCCGTTAAAGGAACCAGAATGACATTACGCATACCGTCACTGAGCTATATACAATGATTACAGTCCACCGAGTGGATTTTCCAGTAACGTCTAAAAGGACGAGACCGATTACTTTAACATTACTAATCAAAATCCAGAAGATATTAAAGGAATGGATGATGAATTAAAATGTACCACACATTCAGATGATGTTGATTTTCAAAACATCGGATTTGGTTGATGCAATCTTTGACAAGACGCACGGGTGTAATACAGCTCCGACGGAAGTATTTGAAGATTAAAAATGCAATTCTAGAGACGTTTTCCCTAGAGAATTTTGAGACAGTCACAAAGTCTTTATTTACATTGTACACGATGACAGATGCAGATGAGAAACTGAGGACAAATAGGCGAGAATTACATGACTTCATCTGGACCGTTGCACATTTGATGTAGAGAAAAAAGCAAGAACAAGAACAAGTGCAACTAGTTATTAAATTGCAGTGTTTCCCATTGGCGCTGGTATGCTTCACGGTTCTCAATTGCATCGTAGTGACATCTTAAAATGGACAGGAAATTATTACCGTGCCAACTTTCTGTGGCACATATTCTCTTCTCGTTTATTATGAGTGTCTTAATCATACACAATGACGAAGGATTTTAGGTAATCGGTCAACGATTGCTGACATGATTATTCACATAATGCTATTTTGGCGTCGTTTGAAAGGGGAGGTTTTCTCCAAAATAATGTTTTTCCAATGAATCAGTGGTGGATAAATTTAGGTATCTAAGGCATCTCCATATAAGCCTCCAGCTTTGGAAAATGCCTCCATACTTGCCCATTGATTCATTGATCTTTCTTTCTTATCTTTCTACATGTATACTCTTTGTTTTTACTACTTCATCATGTTACATTGTTTTATAAAAGTTGTGGCATTATGGAAATAAATGTAGATTGAATTGAAGTACATGTATATGTATTTTTTTGTGTGTCTTAAAGCATGCGGTCCAACAAGAAAGTTTTACTGCGGTAACAGTCATACAAATTTCATTAATTAATCAATTAATTAATATACTTCATCAAACAGTCATAAACAGTATGTAACTCTTATATTTAGGTGCGTAGCACAGTTTTTGCTTCTTGAGTAACAAAATTAAAGGGCATCGGGCACTCGTCGGGCCAAATTGAATTTGTTGTGGTCCATGGTAATTGGACAAGACGGCTTTAGATTTCCATTTTTATGGTTCTGTGAAATGTCAAAGAGAGAAAGAAATATCGAGCGGCAAATTTGTAGAGGAACAAATAATTAGAGTTGCAAATCTGTGCAATATTACCAACGGCCGACAAGGAGAGCTCAGGTAGAGTGACGGCCTGTCTCCTAAGCAGACTCAGGGGTGAATGTGGGGAAACAAAATGAGATTTCGCAAAAAAAGACCAAATTTGATCAACTCACCAGCTGTATCACCTGCGCCAGGAAAAGTAACATTTCCACTACGGTCACTGTGCTCTGGCTCCTGACGGGCCGAATGAGATTACTGTAGTTGGAATTAAATAGGGTCTGAAACAACCTCGTGTGCTCCTCCGTGGCGAGTAGCTGCCGACCTGAAAGGTATCCGAAATGAAACAGGAAGTCCGTGTAAGTATCTTCATGGTATTAACCATAAATGGTTTGAAATGTACACTTAAAAAACCGGGTCAGATTTGACGCGATATCCGGGTTTTATTTAGCCTGACACTTTTATGGCTCAAAATGACATCTTTTAGGGTCAAAATGACACTTCTTCGACTTCTTTTCCGGTCATTTTGACGTGGAAAGTGTCATTTAACCATGGAAAGTGTCAGACTTATTTTTGGCGTCAAAATGACACTTCTTTGACTCATTTTCCTGTCATTTTGACGCGGAATGTGTCATTTGGACACTTGAAAGTGTCAGATTTGTCAGCGTCAAAATGACACTTCTGTAACTCACTGTCCAGGTCATTTTGACCCAAAAGTGGCAGGCCAAAAAGAAGCCGGATTCAGGGTCAAATCTTTGCAGAGTGTTACCAGCTTGGGGGTTGCTGAGTTTTAATTTGCATATATTAACTAGTTTGAAAAAAAAGCTTAGCACTGATCACGTGTACTACTTGTAATAGGGACAGGAATGACTTACTTGAGTGAAAACTCATTGAAATGGAGATTTCAGTTTCTGACTTAACAATGTGTAGCGGGGGACTTTAAAAATAGGGTTTTTATATTTGAGGTTATTTGAGGTTATGAATGTATAAAATATTAAAATCTAATTTATTAAAATCAAAAAAATATTTTTTTAAAGTTTTTATTGAAACATGTGTATATAGATTTTAAAGATTTTTTGTATTTACACGAAACCACATTAGGATTCATAAAACACGAATCTATATTAGCACCATTGTCCAAATCTCTCATATACCAAGGTAAAACTTGATCGTTCTCACGGAATTAATTAATGGGATATTACCCATCAAGGCTGTTTTACTTGTGTCCAATTATTGTGGAAAACGTGTAAGGGAATACTGGACACTGAAAGACAAGTGGCTGGAAAATGATGCAGATGACCTCGCGTGTGGACGGCACCGGATCGCATTCTGATCCCCTAACGACCACTCGGCGGACGGCCGTGAGGGGATTTTTTTATGACAGTTGTACCTGATGTCCCCCCTGTGACTCTATTTTCTGACGATGACAACGATGCTAGCAATTAGAGCGATTGCTGCCTGGGAAATAACTGCCATTGGAAGATATTAAAGGTGATTGTAATGCACATGGGAGTTGATGTCCTCTCTCCATTATGGTCTGTATATTATATATGGCTCATCCTTTTGCCGGATGGGTTGTGGGGTACAAGATTCACGATGATTTGCCCGCTGGAAGACCTTCTGCAGGCTATCATTTACTATAATGCGCATGCTTGAAACATATCACGTTTATATTTCCAGGGAAAATGATAGAACCATTTTGCATGCTATATGTTAGGCCAGTGGGTCACAGTGCTGCACGACGGGAGTTCGATTCCCACAAATTTTATACTTTCATTTTTTGAATAAATTTCATGTTATTTTCTGAATTTGTTAAAAGAGAAGTTTAAACCAAGAATTATTCCGTTATCAACTGACGCATGCGCATTGCAGTAATTGACTAAGTTGCCATTGCAGTCTGGCTTTTATTCATTTGAAGCTAGCATTAAACTGGGATCAATTTCATGTAACTGCTAATCATCAAAAGTATTGCTCGCCGAGTTAATGCGCTAAGCCCAGATTCAGACAAGAAGCAGTCACGACCAATGTACAGATTATGATATAATTTCTGTCTTAAGCAAATTTCAGTGCTTGGCGCCCCCTCGCCCCATATTCGTTTCCACCCGTTGTATAATGTCAAGGAATACCGTCACATACTGGGAAGCTACCTGTAGTATTGCTTTGCGATCGAAACCTTTGGTGTTACGGATGGACATAGCAACGAGTGGCATTTAGCGGGTCGCTTTTTACTCCCTTCTTGACAAAGTCCGGTTGCAAGGAACGATAGCCGTGTGAAGAGCACTCGACCGATAATCGCGGAGCCGGGCCTTTAGGCTGCCAGTAATGGGCTGGCCCCGGCCGGAGTGTGATATTCCGCACTCGGGCCCCGGGTTGGCCGGCTCCGGTATCAGAAACGAGTAGATCCAATCGCTGGCCGTAGCTATTCCGGCAAAAGGCCGGGGGACCTTCTTGCATTTCCTGTGGAAGGAATGTTCCAGAGTGACCAATACTCTTTTGCGTTTAAAACGAGAGCGAGACACACAGATCTCCAGTTTGTTACTTCCCTTCATGACCGTTTTACCCTTGAATGGCCCGTGTTTAGTCTGTCGTGGAATTGTCAACAAAACTTGTTGTTTGGTTTCCATAAATCGCCATTTATTCAGAATACCATTGATTCTGAAAAAAAATATTTATCTGGAATGATGGACGCTGTATGATTCTAAGTTTGGGACACTTCACTTATGTGAACTAACTGCTCCTGAATGTGTGATGCTTAAATTGTTTCACTTTTTACTCATTGACTGAATGATGATATTATAGGGTGGAAAATGACACCTTTCGGGGTCAAAAAGGACACTTTGGGGATGGTTTCCGGGTAAAAATTGCCCGGTCCAGAGAAGTGTGATTATAACCCGGGAAGGTGTCACTTCGACCCCGAAAGCACGCATCAGGTCAGATATGATCAGGACTATGGTCAAATCGGACCCAGGACTTTTAATAAGAGTGCGTGCGATTTTTTAATTTTTTTTTGCGCGATGCCTCCGTTCGCAAGTTCATGTAATTCATAAATGCAAGTCAATTCCAACATATTTTTGTAACCTGAAATCCTCTGAAGTTTCTTATATCCGCGAATGTTGGTGCGGTCTAGTTACCGCACCAAAAATGCGCGGATATAAGAAACATCAGAGGATTCCAATTGACGGATATATAATCAAAATTGTACGACGTGCTGCTACTCCTTACTTCCAAGAATCGTATATTTGTCGGAGCAGTTCGGGTGAAAGGATTCACGACTTGACCAGTGGCGAGCATAAATGATGTGTCGCACCCGAGAAGTAATTAAACTCACTCTCAACCGAAGTACAGCTTCATTGCTTAACCCCCCCCCCACCCAAAAAACCCTGCTGACTGGTGATCTAATTTAGGTCAAGATGGCGAATACTAACGAGCCGTGAAGTTTGATAAACCGCACGTAGTGATCGGCGCTTGCGTCATAGGTTTAACATTATGGTGATTTATTTGTTATTCGCGCATGCAGAACGGTCACTGGCATTTAACTGACTTCTCTATCTGTAAAAACTGTCTTCAAAATTGTTTTGTACAATAGGCGCCTGCACAGCATATGCATGCAGGTATGATGAAAAACAACACTGCGTATTGATCTAGTACCTCCAGATTCTGACCAATCAGCTGGCGCCTGCTATCGTGTCTTCAGTAACCCATGTTGTATGACAAAAAACATGGCAGCTCGAAATGACGTCACAATTGCTCGAAATGACGTCGCAACTTCTGAAGGCAGCTCCAATTGGCTAGCGCGGGGTGGTATACAATTTACATGTACGGATATATCCGACGTTTATAGTGTGACTCGGCACACGCTAACGTCTGATCCTCTGAGTACAGGTTTTGCTGGTGAGAGCTCAATTCCATGGAGCTGCTAGACATACATGTTAATTTTGCATGAGACATTATATCAGCTTATTGAGTCAGCAGCTGAGCTGATTTTCAGCTGATTCTTGGCTAGTGCATAAATTTGCTGAACAAAAATTTCTGCTGATGAGCAGCTCCCGCGAAGGTTGGTTATTCCTCAAGCATGTCTCAAGTGTGCACCGACAGGAATTAAGAGGTTGTTAATGAAGACATAATCACATCATTATATGAACAACAGACAGAGCCATCTGTACGACAGTTGAGTTAACATGTACACAATTCCAAATCAATAATGTGATTTTCGGTTTTTATTTCTGATTATAAGCATAGTTAAACACGGCATTTTAATTAATCATCACATTTTTCATTAGTTACTCGAAACACACAGTCCGGAAAATTAACAGAAATCGAAAGACAAATCTGATTATAAGCACTGATTGGTTTTGACGTAAAGAGATTATCATAATGTATTAAGGCTTAGTGCAGTGTCGCGCGTTTGCTTAGTGTGTTTAGGCCTATGTACGGCAGATACCAGAATCTGCTAATATAGATTGGATAATATAGAGCAACATCGGATTATGTAGTACTGCATAGCCTTAAAAACATGAATCACACAAATACGTGCACGGTTGAATGTTCAGCAACTTGGTTATGTCTTGTGACAGTTGGTATCTTTTGATGACATGGCGCGCGTGTAGACAAGCACTTACAACAACCATGAAGAATGACCTGAGGGCCCGGATCTGGATGTAGATTAAATTGACTAGGAAAATTAATCTTGGCCAGTCCACTCTGCGCATTTTGTTACCCGAGGCGCTCCATAGCGCAAGCCATGAAGAGCCAAGGAGGCATTCAGTTTCGTTCCATCTATCGTCTGGTGTAGGCCATTTGCTCTTCATGATTTGTTCTTCCAGCTCGTATCATGTATCAAATGTTATTAATGTAATTTTGCATCTTTTAAGGCTCCTTTTATCTTACAATAACGGAAAGTCTCCATTAAAATACCACAATAATTATTTTACACTTCATTCCTTCATATAATAATGTAAGGAGAAGGGTCACACTTCCAAACAGTGTAAACAAGTGGTGTTAAAATACGTTAAGATATTTATGTTATTCGAACCAACAAATTCCCAACTGATGTTTATCTCAGTAAAAGTTGTGGTTCAATCGAGTAACAGTTGACGACTGAGCTTTTTGGTAAAAACACTTTAGATAATTTGTCGAAAGTGTCAAGTTTGAAAACCCGAATTCTTGTTTCCTTTTATCTTTGCCTTTGCTTGGTTCTGTAATGCTTCTACTATTCCCACCCATCAATCGTTCGCGTCAATATCACCGCAGACCGAGAGATATGTCTTTGAGAAACACATTCATCGCAAGACGTTTTTCATCTCAGCTTCCGTAGAGATGGCCCCC